ACAGTGCATCTGTAAATCTGTGGCAAACCCTTTCGGGGTGTTCCGTAGAATAAAAAAAGGAAAAAAAAAGGAGTACAGAGATTTTTTGTACTCTAGACCAAATTGATTTCTAGTATTAAAAAACGTTGGTTTATCTAGAACAATATCCGTATGACGATGGCATGAGATCTCCGACCTCTAGTTATTTCACTCCATACTTTAGTATGGAGGGAAATACTGTTTTTACTGATGATTCTCCTCCTTCTTCTTCTCCTCCTGCCATTTCTTTAAATTGATTCAATTCCTTCATTTTTGGGCCAAACGACCTGGAATTTCTTATAAAGGTAGAGTGGTTAAATACCCCTAGGCGTTTTTTTATTTTTTTTGATACAAGCTTTTACAATCGTTTTATTTGCGTTTTTAGCTGTTCCCATAGGAAAGTACTGTGGGGCGTACGCGCGTGACGTAATAAGAAAGGAATTCGGGGGCGGGCCCAAATATGGGCATATGCAAGCATGCAACAGGTGTGGCCATTTTTGTAGATCTGGCTGTTGATTGGCTGATGGCTAATTGATTTATTTTCTACCACCTACGCCTGGTAGGCACATTCTTATGTTTGTTTACAAGTTTGGCCAGCGAAAAGGAGTGTTGTAAAAGCAGTGGAAACGTGATCTAGCTACAGCTACAGGGCTATTTTCATCCAGCTAGCCAATTTCTCCCATGAAAAGACCCTGTGTTAATTAATATGCATATTTTATGCCCGCTACGGCGAAACTGCTATCAACAATACAACAAAAGGTTCGGGTTACATTCCAGCGGCGATACTCGCCAAATAGGCAGGTAAGACATAACTGTTACATTTACATTTAGACATTTTTGCCCTCATTTTACTGGCCAAACTAGTTGGAAGAATTATAGCTGCATGGATGCCTGTATATGATTTTAACAAACACTGAAAATCTGACGCAAAAACTGGCAGATATTCTGTTCTTCTCTGTTGGAACAACGCAAGCGGGAGGTCAATGACCTGCGCCCCGCGAGTACTGTAAACAACGGTAACGTGTATCGTCGGCGCAAGCGCGCGCCACGGTATCAACAATTTTCCACAATCTTCACCGACTAGTATTATATATTCTGTTATCGATTTCTGAAGAATCACCAAAATTGTAGAGTGTATCTCCTAGAAAGTCCCTTACTAGTACTTGAAGCGATCGTTACCGCCATGTTGTTCACTTTATATGACATACAATGCAGAGAGTAATGGAAACGTGTCCAGATAGCTCGGTTGGTAACGCGCAGGGCTGCAAGTCCAGACATTACGAGTTCGAACCCCGGTACACTGGATATTTTTAATTATCCTTTTTACAATTTTTAACAATTTTAACATTTTTAACAATTTCAACAATTTTAACCATTTTAACCATTTTACATTTTAACAATTTCAACATTTAATTTAACATTTTCGTTTAATATCCATTCCTTTGCTTTTAACATTCCAAAACTGATTGTTCTTACTCAAGAATTTCAATAACTTCGAATGTTAGTCTTTTGTATTTTTTCAACATACAAACCAAAATCACTTTGATGTTGTCACAAAAGTAACATCTGTGCGCGCATCGGTTTTCGTTCATTTAAAAACTACAAGTACAAAACATCTGGAAACTAAGCAAACATACTCAGTAAATTGATTGCTGTAATTCCCGATTTTTTTTCACTGTACCGCAACGCAAGCGGGGGGTCAATGTTCACGGTTTTCACTGTCACCTCTGTATTGTGAACTTATCATTACAGTTAGGAAATAATTCCTGGACTTTCTTTTTCCTGCAACTGTCACCACCGTGAATATATACTTCCGTGAACATGTCCATTTTTCTCAGGCCGTGAAAATTTTGCTTCCGTTAGTAGTAGTTACAATCTCGTCAAAAGTGTAAAGTAAAGCTGTCGAGATTTAAAGTGCGTGTCGTTGTATCTTTGTAAAAAAAAAGGGAGATAATTGCCAAGTGCCAGTTTTGTAAATACCTGTCGAGATTCACACAGCTTGTCCTTGTATAATTGCAGTATGATTTATTTAGAATCTCTCATTTTTGTTTGGGGAAGGGTATGGAGTGAAATTCCTACATTTGCTCCGAAGCAAATGTTGGCCTTTCTAGTTTGGGATTTATTTTTTTAGATTATTAAGATTTTCCTGGGCAACTTTTTTTCAGAAAGGCCCAGTTTTCTGTTACCAAGGACAGAAGAATGTATAATTATAATTAGAGTCTCCTTATTGTTGTACATTGTTTATGAAAGTAGACCAGATTCTTAGTACAGTTAGTAGACCTGTTAGATATTTTTAACATCACCAACTATGTATGTATTTTAGCATCACCAGCTATGTATGTATATTTTGCCATACGTTGTACTCGCTACATCTGTTGCGAAAAAAAGTACTTCTATCTTCTAAAACAGTCTCTTGCTAACCTGATGAAATTACTGACGACTTCCCCAGGTGGAATCTCAGTCTCCGTTCCAGGGCAGGTCCGGGGGCTGTGGGAAGCTCACCAGAGGTACTTATTGATTTATTTATTTATTTATTTATCTATTTATTTACTATTTACCTTACGGACAAATAGGTAGTTCCTTCAGCCGTTGAGGCTGATTGCCAAGTGAGCCCACTGAATACAAGAAAATAATGTAATATGAAATAATAATATTCAACGTAACAACAGAATTTAAAAATCATAAATCAAGATGCAATTATAATGATCAGTCAGAGATGTGTGAGATTGTAAGAGGTCAAATCCCAAATAACATAAACTTAGGAATAGTTTATAAATAAGGTACTTGAACATAGTAGTAATAAATCATATATACAAATCAAATACTATTAGATAAAAATACTTAAATCATAATAGGTTGTCGGTCATTGTTCAAAGGGAATCATTATGTTTACCGAAGGAAAACATATTGTTTTTACTCAGTTTCTTCCTCCTCTTCTGTTGCAAACACTAACCTCTGATTTGGCCAATGACATGATTTGGTGACTGGTGTTGGGTTACATGATGTTGCAATTTTATGGTCTGCTCTGCTCCTGTCACCATATACTAGTAGTACATGTATGTTAATGTGTTTGAGTAAGAATGAACAGAGCAGACCATGTCCGAAGGTAAACATTATGCATTTGCTTTGCAGATGTTACTTCTCTAGTTTGTCATATAAGTTCAGTACTATTCATATTTCAGGTACGGACAGTTGCCGTGGAGAGACCTGTTCCGCCCGGCCATCCGCCTGGCAGAGGAGGGGGCCTGTATGGGCAAACATCTGGCCACATCCCTGAAGAGAAGGAAAGACGTCGTCCTGGACAGGACCTCCGGCTTCTGGCAAGTTTTATACAGCTGATGATTCTCTTTATTATGTTTACCGAAGGAAAACATTGTTTTGCTCAGTTTCCTCTTCTTCCTCTTCTCCAAACATATGAAAAAAGTCCATAATTTCGTAATAAAGTCTGAAAGAAAATGAAATTCAGCATGTTGGTAGGTTGGTACATAAGACACTGAACCGGAGTCATTTCGGCCAACATAGATGTAAAAAAATATGATTTTATTGGCAAAAATGGGTGAAAAAAGTTTTTAGCCAAAAATCGAAGTTTAGAACCCGTCTCGACGGAGCCCTAAGCTCGAGGACAAGGAAAGACGTCGTTCTAGACAGGAACTCCGGCTTCTGGCAAGTTTTTTTTTCATTTAGTCAATGATTGTCTTTATTAATTAAACAGACGACACAGAATATCCACTACAAGACTTCGGATTAGCAAACACAAGCTTGTTGAAAAGGGTAGACACAACCACATTCCTATACAACAAAGAATTTGTCATTACTGTAACCTAAATGAGATTGAAGACGAGAGTCATTTTATTGTGGACTGTACTCTATATAATAATTGTATACAATATTACTTTCCTAGTTTTAGATTTTTAGATAGATAAGAAAAAATCACTTTCCTCATGAAAATCGGTAATCCTAAAACTATAAACTCCATCTGTTCTTACATTTACAACTGTCTTAGGAAGCGAGAAGAAGCAGAATCTGTACATATGTAGTTTTACTATAGATATATTTAAGTCTACCATCGCTATTTCCCATGACCTGCACTTACTAGTAGTTTGCAATGAGCAAAAATGTACTTAGGTCTTTCATTCATTTATTAATTCAAATTGGAAAAGCAATGTGCACAGTAGGGCTACAAGAACACAATACAGGAACTATAATAGTGTTTTAGTGCCCGGCATATCTTAAACATTTAATACAACACCAACTTAATGTAATTTATGTCCATGTAATGTCCTTCACAACAAGATATGCAAACAGGAAATACTATCAATTCAATGCAATAGACTAAATAACACAGTAATGAAGGAAAACACAATGCGATAATACATCAAAACATTCAACGGTCAAATGGAGAGCTACGTGTGTGATATTACTCAGTCATAACGGTCTAATTTTCTTTCCCCATGCCCCCCCCCCTTTCTTTAAACTTTGAACTTTATTAGATAACTTGGCAGGAGAAACTTATGAATTATGTTGTGATTTTACAACAGTCTAAAATTCAACATACAACAGTTTAAAATTGAACGATAAAATGCATTATTAAAAGTCATTATTACTTAAAATATAGCACATATAATGTGGCGAGGTGAATATACAATTTTAAGACACGTTCACATACAAATAATCTGCCAGAAGAGTCTGAAACTCAATTGACAACTACTGCGTGATTTTGAGAGTTCTGGGAGTAAAGGATTGTCTGTGTCTGTTAAGTGTTCTGAATTGGTACATGTAACTCTCTTGTCTTGTGGTCATGGTTGTTTGCAGTGACGTGTTCTGTGACGAGGACGGCGCCATGTTACGTGAAAACATGACTGTCAAGAGGCCACAACTTGCCAAAACGCTCCTAGCGGTTGCTAACGGTGGTGCAGATGCCTTCTACACAGGCGAGATTGCGAAGAATTTTGTGAAGGACATCCAGGAACGAGGTAAATAGTTGCTTATGGTAATTTTTAAAACTTTTGCCAAATTCATAGAAGTCTTTTTTTTAATATTATTATGTTTACCGAAGGAAAACATGTTGTTTTTGCTCTGTTTCTTTCTCTTCTTGTTCTCCAAACAGTGACCTCTGACCTGACCAATGACATGGTTTGTTGACGTCTGTCACCATGGTGACTGGTGTTGTGTTACATAATGTTGCAATTTCACGGTCTGCTCTGGTCCTGTCACCATATACTAGTAGTACATGTATGTGAATGTGTTTGAATAAGAATTACAGCAGACCATATCTGAAGGTAAACATTATGCATTTGCTTTGCAAATGTTACTTCTCTGGTTTTAAATATTATTGTACCTTTTTTTAAATATCATTATGTTTGTGACACTCTAGGCGGTATCATGTCTGAACAGGACCTACTGAACTACCGGGCGGAAGTTAGAGTCACCCTCAATACGTCACTTCCGGGTGGACTCACCCTGTTGACCCCACCCCCTCCTTCAGCGGGAGCGACAGTAATTCTTGCTCTCAATATCTTAGAAGGTGAGATAATCCGGACATCGCATACGTCTGACTTCTTCTCGAGGAAAAAAAACGATACGTTGTTCAGTAGTTTCTAGCAACACGCGTACGTTCAGTTCATTACCTTCGCCATACTTGTGGTATTTGAAAGTTCAGTGAAGGTGAACATCATTATACATAATGTATTCAAATCAGGACCTCATTTGCATAATTTATAAGGAAATGCTAGAATGGCATTGTTGCGTCGATGAAGGTTAGACAATGGCATTGTTGGTTAATATAAAACTGTCTTTTGGTTGAGACTATGATAAATTGGTATAGTTCATGAAAATGAGAATCCTATTTGAACAATCAGGGGGAATAATCTACAAATTGTCACTCATAAATATTAACATCATTTGGCGAAGGTATGAGATCGGGGAACTCTAGTTATTGATATTATTGCCATGCATTTCGACAGCCCTTACTTATGAATAACATATTATGATTAACTCAGATTATGCCAAAAACAGTTTCTCAAGCAACTGGATATGATTTGGGAAACTGTCAGACATTTCAGGTAGCATCCACTACCTTTCGTCAGTGACACTAAGAGAGAGCAGGAGAATTGCAATCAAGTTCGTGCTTATAAACCTGCCATTCCTCTGCAGTCTGCTAATGTCACTGACGAAAGGTTCGTAGTGCAATAGTGGATGCTGCCTGAAACGTCTGACCATTTCAAGTAGCACCAAAATCATTTCCTGTTGCTTGTAACTGCTTTTTGGCGTATCTTATTACCTGGATGTCTAACCTTCATCATCTTCATCATTCGTCGACTTCCGCAAGGCTTTCGATTCCATAGAAAAAACCACCATGTTCGAAATCTAACCTTCACCGACATAGAAAACTCTTACTTATGAATAGCATATCATACCCAGGTTATGGACTGAACTCTTCAGTAAAGGACAGTCTGCATGAAGAGGCTTTGATGTATCACAGGATGTTAGAAGCCTTGAAGTTCGCCCTCGTTCACGGAATGGAGCTGGGAGATCCCAAATTCGTAAACATCGCGGAGGTAAGAAAAGAAAAAAAAGTGTCATGAAAGTTCATCTGTGTTGGTAGTAATTACAGTAAAAAGTTGAACTTAATTCCAACACACAATTTACAGAGAGATCGAATTTTCAGCGACCACTGTCGCCTTCATCAGGATAATTAATGACCAATCACTTCACAAAGTGATCTCGCGAGTATTACGGTTTACAAACACGTGACCTTATTCACACGAGATTTTACTGATACGTGACGTAAGCAATTGATCAAAAGTGCCAGGAAGTTTATATCGTCCACCATCTCTATAAAGTGAAGGCTGAAGTGATCTGATATATAAGGCCTCCTTAATGCTTCTTCAAAAGTAGTCCTGTTCAGTGTCCAGTATTCATGTTTCCCCATGTTAGCTCACGAAGAAGATGGCATCGAAAGAGTTCGCCGACGAACTCCGCCGGAAGATCGACGACACCCGGATGTTCGACATCTCTTACTACGGCCCGGCTGCCGTCTCTCCAGACGTCGGCGGGACGTCTCATGTGTCTGTCCTGGGGCCGAACGGAGATGCCGTGTCCGCTACCAGCTCCATCGGACGAATGTGAGTATTTAGCCTGACTAAATCATCAAAATTCTCCTCATAATGCCACATGCCATGTGTGGTGCTTTAACTAAAGGTAAGATTATCTACGAGAACGGTCCAAATTCGCTCGAAAAACTGCCAGCAGCGTCCGCCATCTTGAAAGTCCCGGGAAGCCGACTTCAGGTCATGTGATTCAACGTCACTAGTGAAATTGCACTGTATTCCGTGAAATTGCACTGTATACTAGTAAAATTGCACTATACACTAGTAAAATTGCACTGTATTCCGTAAAATTGCACTGTATGCTGTTAAAATTGCACTGTATATTAGTAAAATTGCACTGTATATTAGTAAAATTGCACTGTATACTAGTAAAATTGCACTGTACTAAGACGATTGCAATGTATTCCGTAAAATTGCACTGTATATTAGTAAAATTGCACTGTACTAAGACGATTGCAATGTATTCCGTAAAATTGCACTGTATATTAGTAAAATTGCACTGTATACTCTGGCACCCCTGAATAAACGTCTCTATAATGTAATCGTTCCCGGCCAGCATGGGCGCGAGATTCCGGTCTCTGTCCACCGGCATCATCCCCAACAACCACATGGAACTCTTCACACTGCCGAATCAAGACAAAACCAGGAGATATTCCCCCACTCCAGGTATGGTGTGTTTTTGTCTCGTTTTCCTACGTAATAAAGTAGATATGAACACGGCGGTCGGTTGCTAGGCTAAAAGTCGCATTACTAGGGAGGTATCGGGTTACAGAACGTGTTCGAACGTGGCCGCGCGGGAGTCCCGGGCCGGCCCGGGGGCAACGGGTAAAATTTGAAAATAAACAAAAGTAATTGGAGAGTAAATACTCGTCAAAATAAAATGTAATAAGTGATTTTGTTTACCTCAAATGTTATTCTTGCACTGCCTTTGCTCCACTTTGTGTACATTTCCTTCCAAATGAGATCAATTTCGGATTTCAAAAAGGGTTCACGAGAACCAAACAACTGATTTTAAGAGGCCCCGAAAATTAAAAATAAGGTAAGATTTTTGGTATTTTTAGTAAATATTACAGTAAATTTAAACTTTCTGTCTTAGGATTTTTTTATTTTTTAACTAAAACTCGACTTACAGTCAAAAGAAGAGCTAAAAACGCAGTGTTTTAACTTTAAATACCGATAATTCATAATCGCGGCCATATTTAAAAAATCCCTAAGACAGAAATCTGCGGAAATCGTTGCTCTTCCAAACAAGATCTCAATGAGGTAATTTGAACGATTTTTGGGAATGGTTAAAATACCATGTTTGCACGGGTGCTATGACACTTGGATATGGGGACCTGGATTTTATAACAGCGTCAACAAGAATTCTGACCTTCAAGGTCACCCACGATGACGGCAGTAGCTTCGTTACATGTTACATATCCACAATAAAATCACGGCATAGATGTAATGTTTTGAAAACGGTTCATATTTGTGGAAAGGTGGATTTTTCCTGTTCCGTGGTTCCCAAGTAAAAAAGGGCTTGAAGTAGCCGGTTGCAGCGGCTTTACTGTAAATGACCGCGGGTAACCCCAGATCGAACGCCCGCTCTATTCGAATGACGTCATATCGAACAAGATTCGCGGGTTCGGGGGATTCGATCTCCATAGTAGCGGACTGGGACTTTTGGGCCCAAATCTGACCATCGTGGAGATATGTTTAAAGTTAAAACTTTTGATTCAACACAAAAAACGTTCTCTCACCTAAAGCTTTCGACCAGTCACTCTGGTCTTCCTCAGTAGACTGACCCAGTGAAGCTCGTCACGTGGCTTCTTTGAAGTATGACGTCAACACTGGGTCAAAGGTATCTGGTAGACGATGTCGGCCTCTGTCCCGGTTCAGAGAAGTAGTATGTAATAGTTAGTATGTTACAATTTTAAACTTTTGATCCACCACAAACAAATTTAAGGTACTCACCTAGAGCTTTAGACCAGTCACCTTGGCCTTCGTCAGTAGACTGACCCAGTGAGGCAGTCTGAAGCTCTAGTTGAGAACCTTTGTGAGTGAGTGAGTGAGTGAGTGAGTGAGTGAGTGTGTGAGTGAGTGAGTGAGTCAGTCAGTCAGTCAGTCAGTCAGTCAGTCGGTCAGTCAGTAGGTGAATTCAATTCAATTCAATTTTCACTGACTGTCCCACATTCGTGTTGGGTAATATATGCCCGTATATACATTTTCATGAACTTTATTTGCATATATGGGAAAATACCATGCTCCCGTTACCATTACTTCCCAGGACGTGCCATGCGGCCGGGTAAGCGGGGCGTGACGTCTTTCTGCCCCACAGTCGTGTTGGATGGTAGCGGTGACGTCAGGCTGGTGATCGGAGCCTCCGGAGGGGCGAAGCTGACGACAGCAGTCACAGATGTAACTGCTCTTATTCTTGCAATTAAAGACATCCAATGCTGTTTTTAGGGCTTGGAAACCCAATGTTTCAAAGCCAATATTCTAGTCATTTATCTACGTACTAGTCATTTATCTACTACGTACGAGTTGAAACCACACTATCCCAATGTATATTGACCCTCATGGAGTAAAAATACCAAAAAGTCTGACGGAAAATGGTTACTGGAAGGGCCCTGGGCTGATTTTTAGGGTACCACCCAGAAAAGAAAGGACTCATCTTGGGGCTTGTTTCTGCAGTTTAAATGCCCAAAGTATGAAATAATTATTGAAATGTGCTAATGTGAAGCAGTATGTGTCAATATCATAAAGATTGCCTTCAATTAATATAGTTTTAGTTTTGCTGCTCAGAAATCGCATCGGATGCCTTTAACATAGCAAAATACATAATCTGGAGGACATGGTATGGAAAGAAACGGCTGGCAATCACTTGCCGTATTTTAAGGTAAAAGCAAGATACTTTTTAACCTGAAGTTGGACAACTGACTTGTTTATGATTTCAGATATCACTGTATCACATGTATGTGTCCTTTGGTAATGTTGTTTGTTTTCATAGTGATAAAGAAATTTAAAAAAAAACTGCTCTTGTTCTTACCCAAAAGGGTCTGCATGTTTCCGATAAAGACTTTATTGAAATTATAGTAAAAAAAATCTAATTTCATTGTGGCTTCCCACAGGCAATGGTCCACCACTTCCTGCTTGGATGGAACATCTCCTCAGCTATAGAGAAGCCCCGTCTGCACATCAGTGTGACTGAAGACATCAGAGGCATCCTGTACTATGAGAAACATCGTCCTTTCAAGCCGAAAGTCAGTCCGTTATTCGCGTTTTTCCAGAAATTTCATAAAGATTCCTTAAGGCCACAGCAAGTAATTTTTATGGATGACATCAGCGCGCGCATTTTTTTCGCCTGATTTTTAAAAAAAAAACAAGAAATTTTGTTGCTTTCTGACAGTGGTCAACGTGCCGAAAATGGGTAAAGATACCTGTTGCCATTCCGGAATGTGGATGGAGGGTAAATTTGAAGAGAGGAGACAAGACAAGGCTCTGATTTAATGTTTTGTTTCTTACTTTGATGCAGTGATATGTCATGGTGGCTGTGCATATGTGATGTTCCCACTGAATCAAAACCATTTGTACAATAATTGAGTCAAAATTTGAAAATGTATGTACGTAGGAGCCTTAGCTTGTTTTTTTTCGGCCCGCCTTGTTTTTTTCGCCCGCTCACATCAGATTTGGAGTCTGCTGAGATATACTTTCTGTGGCTTAATCTTGGGACTTTGCCTAAATTTCAATCCTAGGTTTTCTCTGCAACTGTCCTACGTGTTTTTGCTTATAGTTGAAGAAATTTCTTAACTTTTCTTACTTGTACCTCACTGTCATTGATTGTACTCGCTGGGTCGTCCACTAATTTTCAAGAATTGTGTACACGATGTATGTATAGTCTGTCAGCGTCAGGTACTCGAAGCTGCACTTTCTTTCTGTATCGCCAGGCGGTGCTTCAGGAGTTGGAGAAGATACACGGCAAGGCGACCCCAGAGCCTCACCAAGCCATGGTGCAAGCCGTGGTTCGGGAGAACTCGGCAATCTTCGCTCACTCCGACTCGAGGAAAGGAGGCTTTCCGTCGGGATTCTGACGTCACCGGTCGAAATGGGCGTTCTGGAGCACGTCGGCAGAAAGTACTGAGCCTGCGCAAAACCTTGATTTTTCACGATTTCTGTTAGGTGTTAGGTCAAGGTTGCATTAGAATTTTGCCTGTTGCAGACGATATCATTTTTCGTCAAAACATGTAGAAACTTCAGACGGGATAACCTTATATGCGCGAATGCGATTTTGTATGAGACGTTCTGCCGAAATGCTATGTACAAAATGATTACGGGTTTCGCGCAGGTGCAGTACGTTCTGCCGACGTGCTACGTGTCTTCTAACCATCATCGGACGTGACTATTTTCATTCTTTCATTTACTTCTCAATTTTACGACACAGATCAGATTATACCATCTTTTAATGTATTCAATGTAATTTATAAGGCTTAGAAGCCAGATTTGTCAGTATTCTAGTCACTTATCTCAGGGGCGAAGGGCCAAAGTAAGTAAAGTATTAATTGGTCACTTATCTACATACTGAGTTGAACCAACACTATCCCAAAGCATGTTAACATTCATGGAGCAGAAATGCCCCAAAAGTCCATTAAACGTTTACTGGAAGGACCCAGAATTGATTTTAGGGTACCACCCAAAAAAAGCAAGGTCTCGACGTGGATCTTGTGTCTGTGTTTTTAAAAAACTTACGTATGAAATACCGATTTAGATTCGCTAATGAGGCCCAGTAGGTATGTGCAAATATCAAACAGATTGCCTTATTCAGAATCAAACATTTCAAGTTTTGCCGACCTAAAACTGCATTCTCGTTGATCAACGTTATATAGACAGGGGTTTTTCAGGGCAATAAGAGCGCTGCTCCCTCGTGTAACCAGTAAGATCCCTTATATTATCAATTCTCTAAGTCAGATTGAACCCTGAGCTACTTACACACCATTAAGTCTTTCTCCTTCTGATATTTTTTCCAGCAAAGATGTAAATAAAAACAACTTAAATGCATTTTAGCATTACCAACTGTGTTACTCTCATTAAAAAAAAAGACCTCGGTCGCTTCGCTCCCTCGACATGCTTGCGATCTGCTCCCTCATGCTAAATTTTTCATGCTACGGTCCAAAAAGTGGTCGGTTATTCTAATAACCGACCACTTTTTCCTTTAACTTCTTGTTATTGTTATTATTTGATGTCTGGATAAACACACATTACTATTAATGTTAAAGTTATCTTGATATTCTTTCATTATTTGTTACCGGTAACTTCTACTTATTATTGGTAAAGGTTTAACTGTTTTAGTTGATCTTTGTTTCTTTTGATCATATGTTATAATATCATGTAATTTTATGTCGGGGTCAGGGGGTCATTAAAAATCGCCAAAAAGGGCGCCTTAACAATAAGTTTCCTAGTAACCATTTTCCTCCGAGGTGGGTTCCCAGCATTATGAACTTATTTATGGCTAAGTGGTATTGTATTTATTAGTTATATGCAAATCATTTTATACAGATCGTGACAGTATATACAAAATCATTCGTAACAAGTTAACAGTTCAGGGAAAGCTACTTTGTGCATATCCTGACTAAGGTGGAAGAGATAAATAAATGAAGAATAAAAACAAACCTCTGTTTGGAGTGTGTGGTATGCTGTTACCTCTCACGCCTAAAACAGTTACTCAAGCAACTGGATATAATTTGGAAACGGTCAGGCGTTTCAGGTAGCATCCACTAGCTTTCGTCAGTAATGAGGTAGGTAGTGAATGCTACCTAAATCCAGTTTCTTGAGTAACTGCTTTTGGTGTACCTTATTACGTGAATGTCTAACCTTCACTGACGTGTTCTGGCTCGCCTCTGACTCTCTGGTTGAAACACGTCGAAAACACAGAAACAGACACAGTCACACACAGGCACACCAAAAACAGTACCTCCATTTTTCATGGAGAAAATGAAAGCAAAACCTCTGCTTGGAGTGTGTGGTATGCGGTTATGGATGTAGCCTGATGCCATTCTGGTTTTAACTAACAGTAACTGTAATATGAACTATGTAGTATTTATATATGCGTAACAAGATCAACTGTGTGACTACTGTAGAAAGTAAAATTGCAGCAATAATCATTTAAGTTCAACAGCTGAAAAAAAATTATGAAATATACTAGTTGAAGTAGACTTGTTTCATGGTAGGACAATGTTATCATCACGGCATATGCGTTTTCGAACAGTATAAATTGCTACCAAGTTTGTAAAATAGGACGGCAGTCACAATAAGACGCCATTAAAACAATGAAAACTGTAACCTTACACTGTTTAAACTAAGGCTTCTTCTGTTTAAGCAAAAAATCCCCAGAAGAACACGCCTATAGCCATCAGTACCAACGCAGTGACGTTAGTGAACCGTCCCCAGAAATTGTCCTCTTTTAGTGACGTCATCACCTGTAAGGAATTGGGATACGTGTGAAATAAAACTATGTTAACAATAGACACTGCAAAAATGTGGATTTTTGAGTCGTAACAATGTGTCGTTACAAATTCTAGGAGGTATAATGCTGTGAATCGTTTAGTTCACCTTCATGGAAGCTGCCTTCTCTTCTTTGGTCTGCTTTTTGGCAGGAATGTCTGAAAATCCACAGAACCAGTTCCATCCAGTTCGTAGCATACCCATCATGCTTCGCGACTCTCTTTGTCCGCCATCTTGGCCTCCAGAAAAAAGTCAAGGACATAGCAGAATGAGATCAAAACATTTCAATAGAATTAATAAGACATGGTTGTAATGAAACAGAGATATTGCGTTTACCTTTTCAACTATTTAACCATGAAGAAATTCTTTAATATTATTTTACACTTTCGTCAAACCTGACACTTATAATGTTGCATGCGAAGAAAGGACATTTTGCAGAAATGTCTAGCATTTCTTAAAGTTATTTTCTTTAATGTGACCCTGAAATACAAGGTGTACAAAGACAATGGTGTACAATTTTCTCACATTGTTAGTCGTACGTTTTTCCAGATAGAACACTGTCACTCATCTTACCTTGTGTGTTCTGTTCTGTCGTCTCCACCTGTGCTTCCCCGTTTTCCTCTTTCTCAGTTTCCTCTTCTTGTTCATCCTCAGAGTCAGACAGATCCACTGGCATCTCCGTACTGTGCCGAGTCCACCACGTCAAACGAACCAACTATAAACCATTCAAAAACACATCACGTAATTTCCTCATTAATTATGCAAATTAGATCACGATTTGCATAATTGGTACTTAATTATGCCAATCATCACATAGGCTACCTGCATGCCAAAAATCACGATAATCTGTCAACCAGTTTTTCAGTTATCCTTTCTCTAAGTTTAAAAAAATACCCCAGGGCCTGAAGTTCCAGAACAAGTTGTTAGGGGGTCCAAACTATTGTCACATCTTCCCAAGCACAAGAGCTATCTATACCATTCAAATTTCGTGACCCAAGCATGTCCAGATCGTGAGGTATCAACTCCCCCCGTAGCGGTCATATAGATAGGCGTGCGTAGTGCCTCTGGCTACCGAAGACCCTACCATTTCCAGCCCCATTGGAACATATGGTGAACATCTAAGAACTGAACTGTCAAAAATCACCTACTTTGTGTGCAACTGTTGAAAACTCACATTGATAGCCTATCAAAACTCACATTGATAGGCTATCAATGTGAGTATTCAACAGTTGAACACTTAGTAGGTGATTTTTGACAGCTCAGTTCTTAGTATTTACCATATGTTCCAGGGTACTCCTACCTTTTCCTTGTCCTGCGGCTCCGTCAGGAGACTAATGACGACCGTCGCCACCACGCAGAGGGCGAAGAGCAGGATGGCGAAGTGGAGGAAGTGGAACTTGGTGATGATGTCGGGCCGGGTGTCGGGCTCGCCACATCGCGGGAACCCGTACGAGAAGTCCAGGATCAGCCGGACTGTCCCGACAACCAGCCCGATTATCATCCCCCAGAATGCACCCTGTTATGGAAAATACAGGATCAGCCGGACTGTACCGACAACCAGCCCGATTATCATCCCCCAGAATGCACCCTGTTAGGGAAAATACAGGATCAGCCGGACCGTACCGACAACCAGCCCGATTATCATCCCCCAGAATGCACCCTGTTAGGGAAAATACAGGATCAGCCGGACTGTCCCGACAACCAGCCTGATTATCATCCCCCAGAATGCACCCTGTTAGAGAAAATAGAGGATCAGCCGGACCGTACCGACAACCAGCCCGATTATCATCCCCCAGAATGCACCCTGTTAGAGAAAATACAGGATCAGCCGGACCGTACCGACAACCAGCCCGATTATCATCCCCCAGAATGCACCCTGTTAAGGAACATACAGGATCAGCTGGACTGTACCTACAACCAGCCCGATTATTATCCCCCAGAATGCACCCTGTTAGGGAAAATACAGGATCAGCCGGACCGTACCGACAACCAGCCCGATTATCATCCCCCAGAATGCACCCTGTTAGAGAAAATAGAGGATCAGCCGGACCGTTCCGACAACCAGCCCGATTATCATCCCCCAGAATGCACCCTGTTAGAGAAAATACAGGATCAGCCGGACTGTACCTACCACCAGCCCGATTATCATCCCCCAGAATATCACCCTGTTAGGGACAAAAACATTACGTCATAAGATTTGAAGGGGAGGCCAACGATATATATAGGGATATGCCGTCCAGATCTATATCTGTATCTAAAACTAGCCAAAATGCTACTAAAACACAGGAATACAAAGCTGGTGTTGAGAATTTTCGGTCGTACATAGCGACTTTTACCACAAGCCCGTACATGCAGACCTTTTAAATTTGCGGCATTTACGAGTCGGCAATGTACTGAGTTCCTGAGTTCCGTGGAGCTTCGGCAGCCTGGATGTCATCTTCCGTAGTTACCACCAGCTCCCCACTGGATGGCACCCAGGCCAGAGCCTCCTCGGAGTTTTTTTTTTAAGAACAGGGTGGCATCCATAAAATTAATTCAGTGTGGAATAACGTACCTAGCCTGGTTACCAAACCTATTATAGCTCCCGAGTCCTACAGTCTCTCCGAGAGGCCTATCCAAGAGTCTGTAGGACTCGGGAGCTATAATAGATTTGGTAACCAGGCGTTAGCGTACCGGTTCGTTGGTCCTGGGCCAGAGAATCCCGAGTGTGAAGCAGGCCAGGACGGGAGGCGCCTGGTAGCTGGTGATGGACTGGATATAGTCGAACAGCTGCCCGCCCTGAGCCGCCTGGACAACCGGGATCCACAGGATACCGATCCCCACCATTACCAGCACGAACAACCTGGGGAAACGGTCAGAATTTTTAGAGTTTGATTGTCCCTCCGAATTCTAAGTAGACCATTGGCCAGGCGAGTTTACTGGATATAGTGTTGCCCTCATTTATCTCAAGTATTGTTCTGTCATGTATTTGGGATATAGTGTTGCCTGATCCTAAACCTAACCCACTCATTTATGGAGATAGATAGGCAAGGTTCTGAATACGATAGTAAGTGGGGCCGTGTGGCTTAACGACAGAATGCTCAACGAGAAACCAAGAGGTCCCGGGTTCGAGTCCTTACATGCCACCGATTTTGTGCCCTTGGGAAAGGCACTTTGCACGATTTTCCTCACTTATCTTAAGTATTTTCCTGTCCTGTATTTGTCCTCTGCGTTGGTGGCGGCATAAAATAGGACTATTTAACTTGAGTGTGCCGTCACCGTGTCTAGGCATGAAATAATGGAATTAGAAAAAACACGTACCTGCCGACCAGCATGAGTTCCCGTTGTGACGCCTTCCTCCTGACCCTGCCCCACAGGTCCACAGTAAAGATACTACTGCTGCTGTTAAACACGGACGTCAGAGAACTCATCAGAGCAGCCAGCATGGTCGCTACCATCAGGCCACGCAGACCTGGGAAAGGGGTGAAAAGAAATTTTGTTGCCCTCTGACAATAGTCTATATAAGTGGACAAAGATGTCTGTTGCCATGCCGGAACGTGGATGGCAAAAGAAGAGAGTAGTCATTACAAGGCTATGATTTAATGTTTTGTCTTTTACTTTGATGCTGTGCTGTATTTCATTCCTTTTATATGTGATGTTGGCTGTGTATATGTGATGTTTGAACAATGATTGAAAAATAATTCAGAAGTTGTTTCAGTGAGAAATGGATGTTGTAATAGTTGGCAGTCAACTTCACAATGTAGGTATCATTTTTTGTAGCAAACTTATGAGGTCACAATTTGAAAATGTAGGAATCTTGTTTTTTTCGGCCCGCCTTGTTTTTTCGCCCTACCGCATTAGATTCGGAGTCTGAGGAGGATGTCATCAAAAGAATTTACTTGCTGTGGCCTTATATTTACAAAGTTTTTTTTCCGTTTACAATCATATCGTACAGCAGTAAATACTTATTCGTAGTCATTGCCCCTTTTCTGTCATCATTGCTTGCCCTTTTTTCTTTTTTTTCTGATCAGTGCAGAGTGAACCTGATATCAAAGTCGTATAACGATTATCTTCGGTTCAATATGTCACATCAATTCCCCTAGCTTAATTACACATACATACATACCCTTATCAAATACATTATACATAATTTTGCAGAAGTTGCTGATCCAAATCGTTATTTGAACGATATAGAATGACACCAATTGCAGCTGATACAGTAGGTTTCTGAGATAATAAATATTAATGATACTGAAGAAAGCGTACGGACTTACCGACTGGCATGAGCTCTATGACCAGTTTTGGGTAGGCGATGTTGGTGCAGCTCGCAGGATTTCCACATGCACGTACACATTCCTCTGCGGTCACACAGGCTACGTCATCTGAAATCAACCAATCAGGGTGCAGTACGTTTAACCAGTATTTCAGCACCAAGGACAGGGGATGGATGTACGTTCAACCAGTATTTTAGCCAACATTTAACCTGTACAACAGCAAGAAATGATTTAACTTTACATTTAACCAGTATTTCAGCACCAAGGAACGGCACGAGTTAACGTTTAACCGGTATTTCAGCACCAGGGAAAAGGTACAGTGTTTACATTTAACCGGTTTACGTTTAACCGGTATTTCAGAACCGAGGAAAGGGTACAGGTTTTCGTTTGACTGGTATTACAGCACTAGGAAAGGGTACGGGTTTACGTTTAACCGGTATTTCAGTACCAAGAAAAAGGAACAGTGTTTATATCGGTTTACGTTTAACCGGTATTTCAGCACCAAGGAAAGGGTACGGGTTTACGTTTAACCTGTAGTTCAGCACTAAGAAAACGGTACAGTGTTTACATTCAACCGGTTTACGTTTAACCGGTATTTCAGCACCAAGGAAAGGGTACGGGTTTACATTTAACCGGTATTTCAGCACCAAGGAAAAGGTACAGGTTTACGTTTAACCGGTTAGCGTTTAACCGGTATTTCTGAACCAAGGAAAAGGGCTTAAGCTTAACCAGTACTTCAGCACCAAGGAGAGGGTATGAGTTTATGTTAAACCGGTATTTCAGAACCAAGGAAAAAGTACAGGTGTACGTTTAACAGGTTAGCGTTTAACCGGTATTTCAGCACCAAGTAAATGGTAAGGGTTTACGTCTAACCAGTATTTCAGAGCCAAGGAAAGGGCTAGGGTTTGTGTTTAAGGTGTTTCAGCGCATTGATTGCTTGATGCTTTCTTTATATTTAAGCAACGCAGTAGTATTTTCTAATCACAGCAGAGTTTTTTTCACAAAACACCTAACGTACCTTTGAACAGAGTCCTACTGATCATCCCGGGCATGACCATTAGAAAAAGGGGGAGGATTTTTAGCGCCGCGGCCAGAATGGACCCTCCCTTGGCGTGCGTCATGTTCTTGGCCGCTAGGGAGCGCTGCACGAGGACCTTGAAAGGAGGTGTTGAAGTTTAGAAAACTTGTAGAAAAATATACATACATACAAACAAACAGAAAAATGTACGGCTAGTTATGGCATTGTTGTGGCATGGCTAAATTGATGTGTTTTTTTCTTTCGATTGTCTTTGTTTCTTTATATCATGCATGTTGATATAAAAGAAAGGCTTCGTATTCTTTAGTGACACAAAAAGTCTGCGATTATGCAAGAAGTTTTCTTTTTGTTATTAGAGGCTGTTGATAGAGGAAATTTTTGAAGAATTGACGGTGTCTCAAATTTTGAAAGAAAACAACGGGCGAGGCATCACTTTAATTTAGAAAAAATAGAAAGATAACTTTAGCATATGGTCTACTCTGATAATTCGTATTCAAACACATCTACTCTGATAATTCGTATTCAAACACATCTACTCTGATAATTCGTATTCAAACACATCCATATATATGGTCAAAAGGAGTCTAAATCCCTCCTACTATAAAATTGCAACATGATGTAACCCAACTCTAGTTACCATTATGACAGACGTTTGGTGCAGGTAATTGACCTTATTTGTTTGGAGAAAACAAGAAGAGGAAACAGAGCAAAAACAATATGTTTCCTTCGGTAAACATAACGACGTCGATGAAAGATAATTACCTGGTCAGTACAAAAGTACCACGCTGACAGGATAAAAATACCGAACACCAGCCCGGGCCATGGAAGGTCATTTCCGGTGGCGTCCCTAAACAGGTGAAATGCTTCCGGGGTCGGCACGCCGCAGGTGGTGTTGGGAGGTCTGACGTCAGGGATGGACCGGAAATATTCCGTGACGAGGGTTTCTATGCCACCGACTCGAACAAATGCTGCGAATAAACCGTATACGTCATACGACCAAACAATGTACAGAACCAGCACTAAGGCCACAGCATGTACTTTTTATGGAAGACATCAGTCCGCGCATTAAATTTCGCCTGATTTTGAAAAAAAAACAAACATAACTTTTGTTGCCCTCTGACAGTGGTCAACATGCCAAAAATGGGCAAAGATGTCTGTTGCGGAAGGTGGATGGCAGATGGATATGAAGAAAGGAGACAAGACAACGCCATGATTTACCGTTGTCTTTGATGCAGTTACTGTTTTGTCTTTGATGCAGTGATGTATTATATTCCTTTTATACATGATATGCCCACTGAATCAAAACCAGTTGTATAATGATTAAAAACATTTATTTTTCAGTGACAAATGGATGATGCAATAGTTAGCAGTAAACTTAGCACACTAGGTATTATCAAGGTTTATGATGTCAAAACTTGAAAATGTAGGAATCTTGTTTTTTTTTCGCCCGCCTTGTTTTTTTGCCCTCTCGCATTAGATGTGGAGTCTGCCATCCATAAAATTTACTTGCAGTGGCCTAAAAAGTAAATCTGATTATACACGACGCATTGTTACAAATCTTGCTTAACAATTTTTGACAATTCTAAGCAAAGTAACTTACAACCTATTTCTTGATTTCCAGAAACGAAGGGATGAACGTGTAAACCAAACACAGAAGACATTTCGCAAGTAGTAAATAGTAGATGATCTGACATTCATTGGTGTTATAAATCTGACTTATTAATTCTGAACAAATATAGAAATATGGGAAGTCTGTACTTACCCATGACCATCAGTATGATGGCACCGATCACCATGATACAGACAGACACCGCGTCTGTGTACATCACTGCAGTAAGACCTCCTGTAAACAAACAAACAAACAAACAAAAACGTCATCAGGCGTAAGAAGACGACACATTTTTACAGAAGGCAAAGATTAACATTTAACAAGAATGTCAGCATTAAGAGAACACTTCAAGATAGCACATCTAAGAATCTGTTATTTGGATGCTGATCGTTGAGTAAAGAGGCTTTACTGTGCGTATCCTAAGCCGAAAAAAAACAAATTGAGGGGTGTGTAATAAAGGGTTGATGCTCCTGAGTATATGGTGAAATAATCCCTGGTCAGGTGCGATAACCACCAAATAAACCACCGAGTGAGCGTAGCTACAATACAGTTTTCAATAGATAAACACTACAAGTCTTTTATTGTTTCTTCCCCTGTATAATGGTTCGGTCCAAGATGTGGTCGGCTATTTTAATAACCGACCACTTTTGATGTTACGGCCTGATAACTGATGGGAAATGGAGCCTTCTGATTGGTCTACGTCTTCTCGCTATATGATAATGTTATAAAACATGATGTATATTTCCGAACCTCCGATTGTGTAGACTGCTGTGATGGCCAGCAGGAGGAGGATGGAGGGATACAAGCTCCAACCCAGCGCCAACTGGATAAACAGTGCACCTGCGAACATATCCGCCTGGGGGCGCAATTGCAACGTCACTTCCATCGGTACAAATAATCTCGTTCAGTGGCAAAATCGTAACCCATCGGCAAGGTAGTATCCGATTGGCCAGAAGTGTCTTTGCATGCCGGTTTGTTATGATTTTGCCACCGAATTCGAAGAATCTGCTTGGAAAGTAAGTTAAATGTGCAAAATACATGTTCTATGGGCTAGGCAATACAAGTTACGAAACTCTAGTGAAAATCGGTATCAGAGAAACTCACCGAGATCTTGATGAAGATGTACTGAATAAGCGCCAACACGGACAGGTAGATCTGTAGTCTCTTCCCGCCAAAACGTTTCTTCAGATATTGTGGCATCGTCGTTACCTGGAGACAAGTGGACATTTAGTTCCAGATTCATTACTAGAAAGGTAACATTTGCAAATTTACCTTCGCATATGGTCTGCTCTGTTAATTCTGACTCAAACATATTCATCTATATGGTCAGACAGGAGTCTGAATCCCTCCTGCTATAAAATTGCAACATGATGTAACCCAAAACTAGTTACCATGGTGACAGACGTCTGGTTCAGGTCATTGACATTATTTTTTTTGGATAAGAAGAGGAAGAAGAAACAGAGCAGAAGCAATATGTTTTCATCTGCGAATGCAAACATAACTATCCATGTACAGCCAAAAATGTATCACTTCAAACAATCATAATTAAAGGGATACCGTCATAAATTTCTGTTTACGTTTGATATTCTACACGAAAACTCAGTTAAGAAGGTTTTGGGAGACACAACTTTTTTGTGGTGCTAACAAACTGAGGAAAGGCATTCTGGTGGTAACTTGTAGTTAAGTTTATAATCATACTGTCTTACCGCTGAGGAGATGTAGACTGGAATGTACAACCAGGCAAGCAGCAGCAGGCAAAATAAGCCCTGGGGAACAAAACATGAGCAGTATATTTCCTGTGTAGGGTAACCAAGTTATTTTGAATATACAATGCTTATATTATTCAAAATAGATCCTAAAAGGAATCCACGCGTCCGAGGGTATTTGATATAACGAATGTAAGAAAAAATCGCATACTAAAGTTCTAAGTACGTTACAGAAGGTTAGATATCCAGCTAAATAATATGCAATATCCGTCACTCGAAACGTCCGGTGAAATCTCCGTAATATACGAATTGTCTTAAAATTGCCCTCTGACAGTGGTCACCGTGCCTAAAAAAAGATGTCTGTTGCCATGCCGGGAGGTGGATGGCAGATAAACATGAAGAGAGAAGACAAGACTCTGATTTAATGTTTTGCCTTTTACTTTGATACAGTGATGTATTTCATTCCTATTAATGCCATGGTGACTGTGTATATGTGGTGTTCACTGAATTAAAACCCTTTGTACAATGATTAATTTTGTTTTATTTTTCAGTGAAAAATAGATGCTGTAATAGTTGGCAGTAATAAAACTTAGCACAATATAGGTATCATTTCTTCATTAACAAGGTTTATGATGTCAAAATTTGAAATGTACGAATCTTCTTCTTTTGACCCGCCTTGTTTTTTTTTCGCCCTATCGAATTAGGTTTGGAGTCTGCGGAGAATGTCATCCAAATAATTTATTTGCTGTGGTCTTTACTTACGCTGAGCTCATACGCTGACACCGCTATCCCCGAGGCGGCACCCGTCCCCGCTAACCCGATAAAACTGGTGCTGCCGATGTTACTTCCGTACAGGGACAACCCGATCTGAAATCAAATCAAGTCAACTTTATTTCTCAACAATTGTAACTGGTGATACAATGTATGGCAAACAAGAAACAACAAGGGTAGATACATTAACTATACTAACATTCTAACAGAGCGAATCCATAATGATACTAAAGTTAATCTACTGTATGTTTTCTTGACGAGAGTATTATTACGTTCTATAATTCAGGGGATATATCAGCTATTTACAATATGATGTCGCTTTTGTAGTGATTCAGATATGAATTTTCCAACGTACACTGATATCTGAGTAGGACATGAAAGGAGCATATTGAAGATATCTGGTTTTAAATGGGGTAATGTAACATTAGTTTTAGAAGCTATGTATTGCATCAAATTTTGTCTGTTTAAATTCAAGGTCAATCTCCTAGCAGACGTTTGGAGGATGAAATATGACGTTAAAGTGTTGAAGATAGGTAAAATGGACATAGCTATCAAAACTATACACAACACAAAACAGTAGTTTGAAGTTTTTGTAATCGCAAATGTTGAGACTGAAAGGAGATTGTATGGTTTTTCAAATTCGAAGTACGCTTTGTTCATTTCTCTTTATGAACCTCAGTAAACATGTTCACTTCACAGCAAAATCTAACATGTTTTGACGTGTATAAGTGTGTTATATTACATTATGCAGAACATTACCCGGCCCACTTCTTTCAAAGAAGAAGTCAAACCCCATAATAACAAGCGTAGTATATAGTAGAAGTAGAAGTTTTTCCAGACGGTAGCTGGAATTACTGTATAGTATCGTATATATAGTATCTTTGACTCTGTAAAAACAATTAGCCTTCGGGCATGAATTTGCAAAAAAAAATGTCAGCCTTCGACCATGAGTTTGCAAAGAAAGGCTACATATAAATAATGTTTTACGTGTTGTTTAAACTACTGTAGTGATCTATCGACATAAGCTTTTAGGCAAACGGACCTAAGTACGTGATGTGGACAGGCGTTTAAGAAGGAGGTTAAACATTAAACACAAAGTAAAGGTTCGGCGATTTTACAATGGTTTCTGTGAATGTTTATTTAGGGAGCGGCCATAGATACTAAAATGGTTGCTGTACTGATATTTCTACTTCTGTGTGCATGTCTGTGTATGTATATGTGCGCTGTGTATGTGTATGTTGTATAGTGTTCAGCACCAAGGACAGATGTTTGAGTGTGTGTGCGTGCGTGGTCGCCCGTGTGTGTATGTTTGTGCGTGGGTGAGCGCGCGTGTGTGAGTGAGTGAGTTCGGGTTACTTCAATACCAGTCTTAAGCAATTATATCACTTTGGTGGAATAATTAAAGCATAATGTGACTACAAACGCACTATATGTTCCCGAGGTTCTTGCACACTTACCGGTCCCCACCACATACTGCGTCCTGCCAGGAAGTACCCAGTTACCGTTCCACGGTTCGCCTTCACCATAGACTACAAAACACAACATGGACCATAACAGGGTAGCACTGACAATACAAAAAAACACCCCCGCTTCAGAAGTCTGCGAAGGAGGCTAGTTCAATATGGCCTCTGCCAGCCTTTAGAAGCGGCTGGAAAGAGTAGAAAGTGGCCAAACAGACACTCATAACATGCTCTGCTAAAGGAGTACAGTTTACCGCTCTGGGGCCTATATCTACTCTTTCCAGTCGCTTCTGAAGCCTGGTAGAGGATATTAACACTATATATACAAAACGGTTGTATCGAAGGTGTGATAAAAACACAAAACACAAGTAAATTGAATATTGTTGAAAGACGGAAATATAATATTATGGTCCCGTCTTGGCGGATTTTTTTTTCTTATTCGTACTTCGAACATTGAAACATACAAATTTTGCTTAGAAATGTGTAATACTTTTGAACCGACCCCTTGCGTCGAACAATGTACACTTCTTTGTAAATCATTAAAAAGACGTAAATAGGCTTCTCCAAACTAATCACGGCCGATGAACGAATATGTATTTGCGCTATTTTTGCCGTTTTGTTGCCCATACTTGTGAATTACCATACATAAATAGAGAGGTTTTCGTATTAACTGTATAATTTTGTAATTTAAACATCCGTGATCTTTGAACAGTACGGGTACTTGAACAAGGTCTGTGATAGTTAAACAATCATTGTGTCAACCGGGGGTGTGTCGGGGGTGGCAATACAAATACAAATACACTAGAATGGCGAGACTTGGTTCTATACTATAGCTCAGGTACAACTAACTTGCCACCGGCTCAGTAGCCACAGAAAAAGGCACGCAGTTAGCCTTGACAGCGTAACGCCGACCCAATTTTATCTAGCCTCTACCAGGCACCGCGGATCGCTGGAAAAATAGTAGAAATTGGCCGAAATAAGGCGATAGTATACCAGAGAAGATCCCGGGCCATAGAAGACCCGTGGGTTGTGAATTGGATCTTTTATGGCCCGGGATCTTCTCTGGTATACTATCGCTTTATTTCGGCCAATTTCTACTATTTTTCCAGCGAACCGCGGTGCCTGGTAGAGACTAAATTTTATCATATGTCCCTGCATGCCGGGAAGTAAGCTTGGTGCCCAAACCTATTTTGGCTGCCGAGTTTCTTAATTTCTCTCTCTCTCACGACAGTGAATATAGAAAGGACGAGAGACACTCTGTATCCAAAACCGGCTTGCACAGCAGCAAGCAAGCTATCAGTTTTCATAACTGATCTATTAATATTGTCGAGGTCTCCTTTACTTATATTAAAAATCATGAACAGGCCAAACTTTGTTGCACAGACACAAAATGAACACAAAAACGTAGACTGCAGCTTACCCATATGCCAACGGCCAGGATCAGGACGAAGTAGACGGCTATGACAACAATATCCACCGCCTCCACCCCCTGCCTTCCCGCGGAGGGGGTACCCCCTGTAGTAGAGGGGGTTGGCCCCTCGGTTGGGTTAGCTGCTGAGGAAGTCTCCGCCATCTCGTAGTCCAAAAACTACCACACAAAAAGGGGAGAAACCCAAACCTCGTCCTAACCCTACCCTCACGAGATCTGGTGGCCTAGTTTTGTAGTTTGACCGTTGACTTTTGGGTGATAAATCAGTGACTAGTGTGAGTGACCACAGTGAAAAGGACAGGAGTAAGACCCAGAGGTAACAAAGGTTCTCTGTATCTTTACCAGACCTGGATGTCTTGCATATAGAACGACAGCCGTTGCCAGTGAATGTTTGCATTAGGTCTGTTTACTCACGACCTCTAGCGATCACCTTACTAATTGCACTAAGAAGGCGCCAAATCCACTTGGCACCGACCGTTTGTGTTATGTTATGTGTGCGTTTAATAGTAACCAGCGGATGTGTTTTAATGTATTTGTAGTAGCAAAATACAAGGTTAAATAAAGGTAATATTTTCAAAGCAAATGCATAATGTTTACCTTCGCATATGCTCTGTTAATTCTCACTCAAGCATACCCACATGTAACGTTATGGTGACAGGAGTCTAAATCCCTCCTGCTATGAAATTGCAACATGATGTAACCCAATACCAGTTACCGTGGTGACAGACGTCGATGTGGTCATTGACCAGGTCAGAGGATCAGTATTTGCGACGGAAGAAAAAACAGAGCAAAAACTAGAAAGGCCGACATTTGCTTGGGAGCAAATACAGCATATTTCATTCCATCTCCCTCCAACGCAAAAGTGGACTATTCCAAACTTACCCCAGTGCAAAACTGGCAAAGGTTCTCAAATAAATGAATTAAATAGTAGCTACATGTATATAAGAACAAAGATGCAACAACAAGTACTTTGAATCTCGAAAGCTTTACTAATCTTATTACAGGTATGCAAAAACTAACAATGATGAGATTTGATACATTTTGAAGGTCTTAGGCACATAAAATTGAATGTGTGGGTCATTACGCACCACTTAGGTGCAATGTGACCTCAGGTAACCCGCAATGGAACACGTGTTCCATGGATGGAACCGGCCATTCTTTAGATAGAACATGGAACGGGTACAGCACTTTTGGCCCTTTTTTTGCTGAAAATAGCCATTAAAGTCCCCCAAATGAGTCATTTGGAAGTGGTGTATGCCAAATATGTGACTGCTATTCTGTAGACACACGTTCAAGGTACCCTTATACCGAATTTCAGATCATTTGGTTGTAAAACCAGGGCTCAGGATCCAAAAATCCATTTTTTGGCGAAAAATGCCCCCAAAAAAAACCTTCATAAAAATTTTTCAAAGGCATGTATAAAAAAAATGCCTGGGGGTATTGGCCCACTCTACCTCCATGCCAAATTTCAAGTCATTTGGCTGAGTGATGGCGGAGTTGAATCCCTCTGACTGTGTGACGGGAGAAGGAGAAGGAGAAGAAACATCAGAGAACACAATATATTTCATCCATACCAAGGTATGGACTGAAATATAACAATGTTTTCCTTCGGTAAACATAATAACGTTAACATTGTTTATAGGAGGTTCCGAATGAAACTTAAATGTTTGTACTTCCAGCGACCTTTATTTCTAGAGTTTCAGTGGTGAAAACAAAGTTTTCAGACTAGCTGTTAGTTCTAATTTATGTTACAGCAATCCAAAGATAGTTTTATTTTTCTGAATAGTTGATATCATCAATATCATGAATCGAGCTCTAACGTTAACATTTTTCTGGTTCGTGATGTCGTATTCAAAGTAAGTGTGCAACTTCAAGTAAACCTGCTCGAATATAGAAAGTTATCAAAACATCAAATCCGTCCAGAATTTTCATGTTGAGAGCAAGCAATAAATTAAACATGATAAGACTGCACTTTAGACCTACGTTAATAGGTGGCGTTTTTGGACCATATGTCGCTTTACGACATACGTCACGTTGGCGGGAATCAGCCTGCCGGTTACTTTCGAAGCCGCTTCACTCCTGACCAGGGCGACCTAGGCGTGTCTTGATACAAATTTCAGAAAAGATTGCCAAAAATTATTGCCCTATTTTGAATCACATTCTCACTTGAGACATAACAGACTTATCTTGATATTCATCCTTTGGCTAAAAATTAGTTAAGGATCATGTACAGTTTAGAACTACTTTTTATTTGAGCATACCTTGTTACACCACTTATGATTGGTCAATTGCAATGTTCTTACAACGACATTTCTTAGCATTTGTCTGTCAGAATCGAAGGAAATACTGTTAGGTAAGTCTTTTGATAGGTCTTTGTAGTCTTACACCAAGTTTGTGCCTAAAGGAAATAAAATTGACCCGAAAAATTATAATCAATAAAGTCAGGAACCAATCAAACGCAGCTTAACATCTGGCCTTAGCGCCCGTTTACCCGGCTCGCCCTGTTGTATCAATGCGCATCAGTCCATGTGCAGTTCAGTGGCCTAAGAAGAAGGCCGAAGTGTTCGCCGATTTTCGACTTCTTTTTCAAGTACAGAAGCAAGACAAGTCGATCGAATTAGCCACTGGATTGTAGGGAAAGCCAAGTCCCAACATGGATCTCATACAAATCCTAGAAAAGACAGTATCGCCCGGTAAGTGACGCAAACGTCTCGGGTTCGCAGCCCAGTTTCTGCATTTTCTGAATTTCACCGTGCACAGCACCACTTGCTGACACTTTGAGTTCAACTCCTGTTTTGTGTTTCCTTACAACAGATAAAAATGAGCTGGATGCGGCGCAGCAGTTCCTTGAGGAATCGGCGAAGGGAAATCTGGTAAGTTGTGAGCGTTTTTGTGCTGTTTTAATCGTGTTGTATTGTAGGAACTTTTTTCTCGTCCCATGCCGGGTTCGATCCAAGATGGCGCCTAAATTGGACGATGTCGCAAATAATAACGTAATTTTCGTCAATATATTCGAATTTGCCAGCAAAATTAAACGGAATCTCTCACAGTATTAAGATTTTGATATCTTTCGATCATTCTGAGCAAAGTCAACCATTCTAGACCTCGGTGATCGCATTTGTGAGGGAAATACAGGGACCAACTCGCTCTCACCCGGCCTAGGAGCAAAGATGGCGCCCAAAAACGTCACCCAAGAAATGAGTCATTTATTTCTCCCCTTTCAAGTGTTTTGTCACCATTATGTCGATGTCGTGTACTCGAGTTAGGATGTGAAGTGCTCAACTTGAAAACCTGTGCGAATGAAGTATCTTTACCTCAGTATTTTTCCGTTGCCAGGGGGGAGTGAAAGGAAGTGAAACTATCGGTTGGGTGTGTGTGAAGGGGGAGGGGGGCATGTCATGTCCTACATGTCCCATGTTATGGTGCTGGCACGGTTCCAAGAGACCATCTACATGTGACACGTTACGGATAAAACGCATAAGAGTTTGCAGTTAAAATTCCCCTAGTATGTAGGTTAGCTGGATTATAAGTATTTGCCAGTTTAACACCGAATCCCTGAATTTTAATACAAAGCCATTTGAAGTTTTATGTCCTGTTCTTCGTAATAATAGGATAAAACAGCCAAAATATCCCGATTTTTCATTTCTTGACTAGTGCTGTGTACCAGTTCGCTGGACTTGTAAAAATGTTTAGGTTCAAGTCCAAAAAAACGATTCCGGACTTGTTCCAAAAAAACCCATGTCACATGCAGTACCCCTTTTCTTTTCAAACCACCTAAAACTTTCCATAGATTACAAAATCTGTGCTGCAAAATGAAGAAAACATTGCCATCGGGCATCGTCAAGTGTCGGCCTCCATGTTATGTGGCCAAAGTTTTGCTCATATAACATTGCATGGTGCAATTTTGTATATGCCATGGATTTAGGTCCAGACTTGAAACTCAACCTAAACCTCTGGACTTAAATCCGGACCTGAGCCTAAATGTGGGTTTAGGTACACAGCACTACCCTTGACCAAACAAACAAGTAAAGATAACAGGTGGATAAGTGGTTTCAGGTTAATGAGGTGTGAAAAACTTCACTTGTGTGATAATGATTAGGGCGGTGCCCATCAAGGATGATTAAAAAAGTGTGAAAACAATGAAACAAGCATGGTGAAGCCATGAAAATTTCATTATCCATAACAATAGAGAGCCATTCAAAATGCATTTTAACCCTCACCCTGCTGGATAGCATAGTAATCAATACACATTTGGTTGCCAATTTCCAGTCTTGGACCATCTCAGTGAAATTGATAGTAATCAAATACAGATTATGTAGTCTGCCAAAATAGGCAAGTCAAATGTAGACCAAAGTCTGTATGTCTGATAAGTTATTGGATATAAAACTTTCTTGGGAATGGCACATCTGCAGCAAAATGTATATGTATATATGTATACATATGTATACATATATATATATATATATATATATATATAATATATATATATATATATATATATATATATATATATATATATATATATATATATATATATATATATATATATGAGGCGACACCATTTATTTTGTTGGTTCTTGGATTTTTTTTTTCCTTAAATATGAAACGACAAGGGGAAAAAAATTACAGCTCTAGGCATTCTATTTCAGCCCCAAATGCTACGATAGGAGCCATGAAGTCAACACAAAAGGCTTGGTTGATATTTAAACAATGGATTTTGAAGTTTAATCAAACCACTGCATTGATAGATGGAAAATCTGTAACAACTAGGAAGAAAAGGACTTTCCTCAACTGTTGGGGGCAAAATATGAGCATTTTTGAGTTGATTAAGAACCAGAATCTTTTTTTTTATGGCAAATCAGCAAAAAATGAAGAGGCGAATCCGAGAACCAACTAATCAAATTGGTGTGGCCTAAGATACAAATATTTATATGGTACATAGTAATATCCGGGCTCACAATACCTTTTTTTCCTGGATATCTGCACTGGTGCAGGTAACATTATAAGATTGATGTTGTGTAAGTGCTTGTAGGCTGTAATTACATTCTGATGGTCTCAGGTTTGACAGATGATGCGTCACAGTCAGAATAGGTAAACAGATGATTCATTCTGGGTTGTTAGATGAAAATTGATACATTAATGTAATCTTAATACGGTTTGATGACCAGAAATTCGATTTTGCATCTTAACCGCATTTGTCCATGTTATTAAATCAAATTGTTCAAAATCTATTTATCACGAATCCATGACTGTTTGTCACTGATGACAGGTTAAGCTGACCACCACTTACTAGAACCATCCACTGAAATCTAATTGTCAGTTATAAAAATATAGGGCAGGTCAAATTTCTAACTTTAGGCCACACCAATTTAATTTGTTGGTTCTCGGATTTGTCTCTTCATTTTTTTCTGATTTGCAAAAAAAAAAAGATTCTGGTTCTGAATCAGCTTACATTTTGCCCCCAACCATTGAGGACAATGGTTGGGGGCAACATGTTACAGTTTTTCCATCTATAAATGCAGTCCTTTGATTAAAAGTTCAAAATTCATTGTTTGAATATTAACCCAACCTTTTCTGTTGATTTCATGGCTCCTATCATTGCATTTGGGGCTATAAAAGGATGCCTAGACCTGTTTTTATTTTTTTTTGCTCTGTCGCTTCATATTTTTTCTTAAAAGATCCGAGAACCAACAAATTAAATTTGTGTGGCCTTATCAATTAGTCAATCATTTTGTCATTTATTCCAAAAGAAGAAATTAGAAATGTAGTTAGTTGTGTGTCTATTGCTAAAAGAATTAGTAGAGACAAATGTTTATTTTGTTTTCTATATTGGATTGTTTGTAATGTCCCTGCCTTACTAGTAACCCTATCTTTGGTATTCTGTGATCATTAAGGCATATGTTGCATACATGAGAGATAAATTTTCTTGTCCCTTTACTGCTCTTTATCGCAATCATTGGAAATATATTTTGCTGTGACAGTATACTTTTATACTGTCAAGCCAAGCCAAGACACTTTTATTAGATGTGTACATGTAAATACATGCTAATTTCAAAAGCAACTTTACGATTTTCATGATTAAGATTTTGTTTGCATGGAAAGATTATGTGAGAGACTATATGACAAATGAAAATATTTTGCCTGGGTTTTATACTCAAAGTGAAACTGCTGTGCGTGAAATGAAGTATGACAAATTTGCATGGGAAGATTTTTCATGTGAGATCATGCGTAAGATATTAGTACATGGTTGAGTGATACATTTTGTCTGATGTTTCATCATTCATGTTTGAAGAGAGCCACACTGCAAGCTACACATATAATTATAAGATCCCAACACACTTATTGCAAAGAGTAGTGTGAGTGGTTTAAACCTTACAGTCTGGTCTTTCTCTTTTGTACTGCTAAGCCTAGCCGTGGCGACTATTGATTCGGGCTTACATTGCATTACCCTCAGCAATAGTCGTGGAAAGATCCATTGGCAGAACTGCACATTTCCCGTTGGCTGCTCGATGCTCCGTTTTTGACCCGGTTTTTTGCTGTCCCGAGCTTCCCTACATTATATATAACTCCACAATTGGCCGGGTTGCCGATGTTTAGATCAGCCTAAATATTCCACAGCGCGACAGAAAAGTAGTAAAATAGCTAGTCGGCACAAGCTGGCGCCATCTTGGATATAGTCGGGAATGTCCGCTACCGCCGTCGGGAACGCTCGGTAGCGTCACGATTACCGAAGCCCGACCGAAAGCTCTCCGATTATAACCGGAAAGGCTACCGAGCGTTCCCGACGGCGGTAGCGGACATTCCCGACTATATCCAAGATGGCGCCAGCTTGTGCCGACTAGCTATTTTACTACTTTTCTGTCGCGCTGTGGAATATTTAGGCTGATCTAAACATCGGCAACCCGGCCAATTGTGGAGTTATATTGTAGGGAAGCTCGGGACAGCAAAAAACCGGGTCAAAAACGGAGCATCGAGCAGCCAACGGGAAATGTGCAGTTCTGCCAATGGATCTTTCCACGACTATTGCTGAGGGTAATGCAATGTAAGCCCGAATCAATAGTCGCCACGGCTATGCTAAGCCCAGTTATGATTTGATTATTACCTCCATGAAAAATGGAGGTATTGTTTTTGGCGTGTCTGTCAGTGTGTTTGTGTTTCTGGACATTTGCAGCCAACATAACTTTTCAACCTTTGGATGGATTGTAATGATATTTGGTATGTCTTTAGGTGTTGGGTAGGCAAAGGTCAAGGTCAATTTTGGGCCTCCTGATGGCTGACCTTGGTACTGCAGCAGAACTTCTGGTTTTTGTATGTCTTATCCTGGACATGCTATGGTCTTGATTTTTACATGTAGGTGGTGGATAGCTTTTCCTGCCAGTAATAAGTGGTGTTGGTTTGGTCCCCCTAGTAGTAGTTGCACATACACATGTTAGTTACAAAACAAGTAGCCAGTACAAATAAACAAGGGAAACAAAGGTAACCGTAAAGGCACTATATAGTGAAACTTAGTGAACTTAGTGTGTTGATAATACATATGTATCTACATATATACAAGGATGTGTAGGGGTGACTCAATGCAGCAGGGCTCTACTCAGTTCACTTTTCTATTTTTTTATTCAAATTTGTGATCTCGTTTTCAGCCGCAGTTCATCCTGGCGCTGTCCAAGGTGCTGGCGGACCCGGGGAACAGCCAGGTGGCTCGCATGGCAGCTGGCTTACAGCTGAAGAACCAGCTGACGTCCAAGGACCCGACCATGCAGGTGCAGTACCAGCAGCGCTGGCTGAGTATGGACATGAACATCCGGGCTGAGATCAAGAACAATGTAGGTTCAGCCTCTTTCCTTTGTTTACCTTTTAGCAGCGTTCAAAATACCCATCCACATTCAGCATTTCGCAGAGAGATTTACAATAACAGTAGAAGATAGGTAGTATATAGTATTGTTGTAATATATAAACTCCTAGCACTTAGCATTAGAACATAGCGTCCCAATATGTAATACTCGTTTTTATCCTCTCGACCACATTTGGTCACATTTGTGCATTTAGCCCATCTGGGCAAGAACATGCAATAAAGAATAAAGATTCATATCAATATTGCAGAAGAAAAATCTTCAGTCTGCTATTTTGTATCAAGACAAGAAAGTTGCAGTGTGGAGGCTTGTGTATTTGCAGAAAGTGCTGAAATTCATGCTGGAAGAACTAAAAAGACACTTTGGACGTTTTGGGGACAATAGAAAAATAATCAACATCAGAATGTCAGACCTTCTTTTGTTTATCAGGCACATGTCCCGGCTTTTAGATCTGGAAAAGTCCCCCCGAATTTCCTGTCTAGTCTGCAATTGTAGTGCCCCTGGGAGTTAACATGAACAAAATAAAGTTGACTTTAAGTTCAAGACCTGCAATGCTTCCCGAATAACAGGTTGGGGCAGTTCATCCTCACTCTGGGACAATTGAAATTTATTTTTGGGACAGTGCTAGGACAATAAAAAGAAAAGTTAATTTTGAGGCCTGATATGGGTACTACTAGACTGTGTACAAGATGTTAAACTGAACTGGTTGTTTCTTCAGGTGTTGCAGACCCTGGGTACAGAGACCACGCGGCCCAGCTCGGCTGCCCAGTGTGTTGCCGGTATAGCCTGTGCCGAGGTGCCCCACAACCAGTGGCCTGGCATCATCCAACACCTGGCCGCTAACGTCACCACACCTGGCAGGACTGAGCAGGTCAAGGAGGCTACACTGGAGGCTATCGGATACATCTGTCAGGACATGGTGAGGCCAGGGGGTTTTGTCAATGCCTTTTGTCTTGAGTAATGTTGATAATGTATGGATGACATCTGCGCGCGCATGAATTTTTGGTCGTTTCCAAAAAGTTTTCAACCATACTGTAAATCGTACAAAACAGTTGCAAAATGAGCTAGTATATACCGTAGGTTGACACAAAGCTATTGGAAAACGATACCAATGTCGTAGTATGCCAAAATCAAACGAAAAAGACGAAAATGTAAAGAAATGAATTTGAACACTAGATAATTCACCAAACCATACTCTGTGTCATTTGTTCAACCTTCAAAACCATAATGAAAGCAACTTTTTTTTTGGCCAAACTTTTTTTTATTCGTACGCTTGCATCAGTTTTGGGGTTCCCAGATCGAGGATGTCATCCATGTAAATTGTAATCAAATCAACATGGCCTAAACTTGAAGTGGATTAATATTAATTAGTGGATTCATTCCTCTATCTATCACACTGCAGTCATCCCACAGTGAGACATCTGGAGCCGCATTGTTCATTTTTAGGCCTAGAAATTTACTAGAAAAAAAAAAGGTTCCATTTCCTGTTTCCCGACCGACCCTAGATTTTTTTTGTGTGGACCACTGCAAGGGACATAAATTTTTCGGGACATAAGGGGACATAAATATACAGTCAAACCTGTCTATAGTGGTCACTCAAGGGACTGGCCAAAATTGACCACTATGGCCAGGTGACCACTATAGAGAAATGGCGGTTAGTTGCCCCCCCCCCCAAGTGACACATGCTTTCAGTACCATGGTGTATTTATGTCTTTATTCTCAAACATATGAAAACATTCATTGCACAGGTAAGTCTCTTTTCAAATGTAACATTACATGTTATAATTCAATTGTTGTTCTTTTGCTTTAGTTGTGGGCTTGAAAAAAATTATATATCAAAACTGCATGCACTCGACATGATACTCAGTTGATCTACTGGGACTATGAAACCTTCCCACTAAAATATACAAAATCACTGGTTGCCATTTACTGTTCTTGTGTACGTGTAACATCGATGTTACCTACAGAAAACTTGAAAGCGAATCAAGCAACAAAGTTTCTGTCGACTCCAAGCCATGTTTCTTCCGACTGCAAACTCCTTTAATCTAAGCTCCTTCTCACTCGCTGTCAGTTGAATCACATCCACCTTGTGGAACAAGTTCGACGTCTGTCTTTCCGCTTTTGCCATCGTTTCTCCGCAATCGCCACGTTACTAGTACCGTAAGTCGAAAAGTGGAAGAGAAATTATGACATCGCCATGTTTTTGTTCTTTGGTGAGTGCTTCGCATGACCGACATCGCCACAACGAATCCAACCATGTAAACAAGATTTTTTTGTACCAAGATGCTGTCCATTTAGTTAACAGCAAAATAATTGTTCATCTGTTGCCGTTTATTTCCGTTTTTTGGTCATTTTTGAACATGAAAACGTAGCGAAAACTTTCCTTTGTTTACGGCTTGGGTTTCTTCCGGCGTGGGTTGTCTGCCTCTGCCATTATGCCAATGTGGTGGTCAACAAAAATAGTGCTCCTTTCAGGCTTACATATTTTGTAGAATATTCACTACAGACTTAAGTTTACGATAGAAAATAGTTTTAATAATGTATTCCAAATATTTTTGTAATGTAATCACGCCATTTGATGCTATAAAATTAAGTAAAAGTGGGTATATCTACCTCCAAACCAATGGAGTCTTCCGATGACCCCAATTGACCTGATTGTTGTTGCAGCCTGCGCCATTTTGAAAAATCACGAAACGCATTTTCTCAGCCCAAATTTCTTGAATTATGCCCGTGAAAAGGGGAAGTTGGCAACATATTTATGCTTTTCAAGGAATCGAAAAATCAAATATGGATATTCGTAAGTTTTTTGTAAGGATGATTGCCGCAATCTTTGCCGAGTCCACTGAAAGCACCGCGGCACGCACGACATGGTGTTTCAGATATCAAAGACGTCAACACGAGCGACCGCAAAAATTTCGTGTCAAAATCAAGTTTTCCTTTATTTCATACACATCTGGAGTCTAATTTCAGTTCACATTTTAATAATGTAGCGGCCACAAAATTATCACAAGGCTTGATTGAACGTCCTAACGGCCGTAGCCCGAGGTCGGGTGGTGTTACGTACGTGGTGCTTAGCGGGTAACTGCCGGCCAGCCGTGACCGCTATCGGCGGTGTTGACAGCCGGCGGGACCGGAATGGGGTGACCGCTGACCGCGTTGAACAGTGACCGCTATATACGCGATTCTTAATGCTTACGTCAATGGGAAAAATTCAAGGGACCGGCAAAAGCCGACCGCTATGGCCGGGTGACCGCAATGCCAAGGTGACCGCTATTACAGGTTTGACTGTATCACTAATGTATCTTCTGTTTTCTATCCAGGACCCAAAACACCTTCAGTCTGAGGCCAACAGGATCCTGACTGCCATCGTACAGGGCATGAGGAAAGAAGAACCAAGGTAGCTACTCATGTCTTGTGTGTGACTCTAAATCAAAGAAAAGCTATCTTGCTGATTTGATCATTACCTTATTGCACATCTATGCCCTTACACACTAAGTAGGGGTAATGGTGGTAAAGCACAATACCAGTAATGCAAGACTGACATCTACCAAATGAAATTATGTATTTGTTGTATGAATATTCAAAATGCTACGATCATTAACAAACTCAGTGCTTTCGATCAGTGCTCTGACCCTTTTCAAGTTGAAATGAGCCTGAGTCTTGTATTTGTTTGTCTAATTACTTGATTGTTTTAAGTGCGGACCATACAACTTATAAGAGGAACCCAATGTGAATTGTCATTTTTTGTCTCTCTTCCACTTCCAGTATCCCAGTCAAACTGGCTGCCACAAATGCTCTCCTGAATTCTTTGGAGTTCACCAAGGCTAACTTCGACTCTGAAGTAAGTCTAAATAACAAGTACATGTTTAAGATCAAGGTTTCTTTGGAAATTGTGGGCTAAGTATTTTCTAGAATAAATTTAGGGTCATTACATGAAATGATGCCTTGGTAACACTAATGAAATATGCATCCATCTGTTTGTTAAGGCTATTGAAATATTTTGAAATGTCTCTTTTGAACCCAAAGTTGTCTGTTTTCCCATAGAACGAACGCCACTTCATCATGCAAGTGGTTTGTGAGGCGACCCAGTGTGAAGAAACTCAGGTAAATGTGTGTATTTTTTCTACTTTCATCGCCAACTACTTGTTTTGTACCCGTTCAGGTACATGTTGTGTTGTCTCTATGGAATAAGTAAGATATGTACCTTACAATGCAAAAATGAAAATACATGTATATACTATAGGTAAAATATAGCTTGAATACCCTAGATAATGGTCAAAAAATCATTTTTTCCTAGAACTATCGCAGAGTGAAACTCGCTGTCACCAAGTACAGTAGGGGCATTATCATTAGATAGCTTTAAACAATGTTAAACTTTAGAGGTAGATGTTCAAAGGTTAGGTGTAACAAGTCGTTCAGTGTAATGTAGCCAGCTGCCGCCGCGCCGCATGCCTGCGAAACTGGTGTGTTACGCTGAAGGGCAGTTATACCGGCTATACAGATACAGAAGCTGGTGTGTTACACTGAAGGGCAGTTATACTGGCTATACAGATACATACATATACAGTCAGGAAGACAAAAATGACTGCACATGTGACAATTTCAATGTAAACATATATATTGTTTTCCTTTTTCTAGGTGAAGGTAGCAGCCTTGCAGAGTCTGGTAAAGATCATGTCCCTGTACTACCAGTACATGGAGACCTACATGGGACTGGCTCTCTTTGCTGTAAGTATTCCAAGGAAAGATTTTTACAATACTTTCTTAATAGTTCTTAAAGATTTCTTAGAACGTATAGTACCTTGTGAACTGATCGTCCGACAGGATGAAAAGGACTATGATGATGATGATAGTACCTTATAGGAGGTTAAATTGTACCAATCATGCAAAATGTTTTTCAAAGCAACCTTTTAGCCCCAAAAGTGTATGTTTTGACATTGAAAATACAAGTGTCCTGACGCAAATTTTACTTTGTTACACTGTATTGCATACATGTAAGTTTGACCCCTATACATTGTATTGATATCACTGAAGTCTAAAAAGAAAAAAAAGATAATCCCTACCTACCCTATGATCTGACTAGTTTTCAGGACTGAAACAAGAAACACAACATATTTTTTCCTAGGCCCTAAAGCCCAGGAGTTGGCAGTTTTTCAACAGGTTTTTGCGGCACAACGACGTTGATCTTTTACTCCCAGAATGTCATTATGAACCCAGGTAGGCTTATAGCGCAAGAAGTGTATAACAACATTTAAAATAGTGACAATCTTACATAATATCACTTTAATGCCATTATTTTCCTCCATACAGATCACTGTGGAAGCTATGAAGAGTGAGGTAGATGAAGTGGCTCTCCAGGGTATTGAGTTCTGGTCGACAGTTTGTGATGAAGAAGTGGACCTAGCTATTGAGGCGAGTGAGGTGAGGTCCCTTCTAGGCATGGCTCTTAATGAATGAATGTACACTTCACAAGGCAAGTTGTAGACTGCTGGGGTTTGGAGTTTGCATTTGTTTCTGTTTGTGTCAAAACGAAAATATGTCGCTTCCATGTTTCATTACCTTCTTGATAAATCTTGCCATGAAAAATTGTTGTATTATTCTATGTATGTATGTATTCTATAAGCACAGTTGGCCTCTGTTACTCTTTCTGTCATAGTTGGTACCTATGTGACCCTAACTTTTATAGATAGCCCTTAGTACTTAGTACATTTTTTGTACTTGTTTCTTTTCAAATATGACAGGTTACGTCAGGTTTGGGGGCTGTATTTTTCTTGAAGTTTCTTTTCACATGCGTGTGCCTACTTAATGTTTGGTGACTCAGTTTCTTTTCTTTTTTTCATGAAGTTACTTTTTCTAGTATGACAGATTCTCGATGTACAATACCACTCCCTGCATCTCTGTCATTAGAATTTTAATACTAAAAGAGCAGTAACCAGGGCTTGAAATTAACAGTGTCCTGATGGCCACTGACCACTAAAATTTAGCCTAAGACAACTGAAAAGTCACTTTGGGACATTTTGGGGACAATAAAATAATCAAAGTCAGAATGTCAGCCCTACTTTCATCAATCTGGCAAGCATCCCAGATTTTGGCTCAAAAAAGCCCCCCAAATGTCTTGTCTACTCTGCAATTACAGCGCACAAGCTTAGAGAGTCAGAACGTAACCAAAATATCGTTGACTTCATTCATACTTCCCAAAAAACAGGTTAGAACTGTTTGGGACAATTGAAATTTATTTTCGGGACAGTGCTGGGACAATAAGAAAAAAAGTTAATTTTGAGGCCTGAGTGACACGCTTGTCTGCTTGTGTTCTTCAGGCCATGGAACAGGGGCGCCCTCCGGAGCACACGAGTAAGTTCTACGCCAAAGGAGCGCTGCAGTACCTGGTGCCCATCCTCATGCTGACTCTCACCAAACAGGAGGAGTTTGATGACGATGATGACTGGAATCCCTGCAAGGCAGCAGGTCAGTTGTATACTCTTTTATGTCATACTTAGAGCTGCATACTTAGGGCAGACTTAGAGCATGTGTGCATGTGCACCTTAGTGCACCCAAATTTGGAGCTGTGCACCCAATTTTTTTCTGCGGGTGCACTGGTGCACCCAAATATTTTTGTAGACAGTTTTGTACATAATGTATAATAGTATACAGGATATGCTTGGCATGTAAGTGTCAGAAAAATAAGGAAGTTAGCCCCATTTCAGATTCAATCTTAGAAGAGGAGCAGTTACTGTAAGATTTTATATGGTGCACCCAAAAAAACTTTTGTGCACCCAGCTTTTTAGGTTTTTGCACCTGTGCACCTATTCCCAAAAATGAATTTTGAGCCATGCCCTTAGTACCGGTACTAAATAATTTCACACTAATTATATGCCTATTTGTGACCTAAAATGTGTAAATAGCTGGTTCCCCATGGTTCCAAAGTAAGGACAGTCTGTGTTACAGGCTGACAGTGTTAACTAACTAGTTGTGTATTAGTTACACTACCTCTAGATGTCACTTTGTCAGTGTTGCAGGGTAGGAGATGATAACTGAAACATCTTAGTTATGCCCATGTTTTGTATAAGAATTCTCCATGAACAAAAACTTACACTTAACTTTAAAGTTAATTCATGTTTCTGAAAATCAGAACATCGTTGCAGACCATATCAGAAAAGATATGGTCAGCAACGGGTAAACGTCTAATGAAACTTTGACCAAACCTTCAACGAAAAATCTGGGTTTTGCGCAAGAGCAGTCTGTTCTGCCAACGTGCTCCTCCAGGGTAAAATGAATAACGTATAGTGTATAAAGCAACATTTTGTCCCCCCCCCCGTTTTGCTGCAATACTGTTGTGTTCTGCTAGGTGTGTGCCTGATGCTGCTGGCCACCTGTTGTGAGGATGACGTGGTGAAACCCGTCTTGCCGTTCATCCAAGAACACATCAAGAACACAGACTGGCGCTTCAGAGACGCTGCCGTCATGACTTTTGGTACGTACTGAAAAAATAATTTTGTAGTCAATTTTGCCTACATCTGCAGGTTTACATGTTAGTGAAATTAAATGGAATATAAAATGGATGTGTGAAGAACATGGTGTCACAATTAATTAAGAAGCTCCTTCAGATTGACATGCATTTCAAAAGAGTATCTATCTACCTGAAGAAAAATCTTGAAGTATTCTTTGTCAATTGTAGTACTAGAATAGCTTAAATCTACAGTAACTGTTTGTGTATGAACAGCATTTTAGGTGCAATTTGAAAAATTTATGTGCAAAATCATATTTTTGTCGGTGAAGGTTACACGCCCAGTTAATAAGATATGTCAAAAAACAATTACTCAAGCAACTGGATATGATTTTGGAAACGGTCAGACCTTTCGTCAGTGACACTGAGACTGCAGGAGAATGGCAGGTTTATACGCAAGAACTATCCAAAATGATGCAAATTAGTCAAGAAGCTCCTGTTGTTTCACAAGTGTTGTCTGTCCTTGGGGCTGGGAGTGCCAAATCCCAAGTTATTTTTGCTTCTTTGCCTGTAATGCCCCCCCCCTTCTGCTCTAGGTGAAAAATTGCACATTGAAAATATTTTTAAGTGCAAGTCTTGCAAATCATGTGCATTTTGCACATTGCACATGGGTATTTCGAGCCCTGGTGCCCAATAAAGCATAATGTTCTCCTCATATTATCTGTACAAACATGCTTGAGTGTGTCTAACAGAGAACCATGTTCCCTACAGGCTCCATCCTGGAAGGCCCAGACCCGACTACCCTGAAGCCGATGGTAGTGGCTGCCATGCCCATGTTGATAGAACTGCTGAAGGACCCCAGTGTGGTGGTGAGGGACACCACGGCCTGGACAGTGGGCAGGGTGTGTGAGCTGCTGCCTGAAGCTGCCATCGACGAGTCTTACCTGGGACAGCTGCTGACCAGTCTGGTGGAGGGTCTGGACGCTGAACCCAGGGTGTCAGCTAATGTCTGCTGGGTAAGTACTGTGTCTTACTTACTTGGCCTTTAATTTAATTAGTCCCAAAGGGGCATAGGCCACTGATGACTCAGTCCATCCAGCTCGATTCTGGGCTTCCCTCTCCCCATTCAGTGTCACGCCTGGGGTCGTGTGGCATAGCAGTAGGGTGTTCAGCTCAGGACCAAGAGGTCCCGGGTTCAAATCTCACCAATCTTGTGCCCTTGAGAAAGGCAATAAACACAACTTTCCTCTCTTCACCAATCTTTGGTTAGGGACGTCCCTCAGATAGGACATTAAATGGAGGTCCCATGTTTGGGGAGAGCCACACCCTACGCACGTTAAAGAACCCACTACACCTTTCAAAAAAGTGTAGACATATGCCCTGCGATGGTCCAAATTTTACTGCTATCTGATGATTCACTACTGTAACAAAAGTGTGAAATTTTACACTAATATTGAGATCCAAAAACAAACAAATGCCTCCAGGAGTTCCTAGGGCGGCCCTTCCTTTTTTACCTCTAGTGTTCACATAATGAATATTTAAGACAACAATAGAAGACCAATAACACTGAAATACAATAGTTCCTGAGACTAGTGGGATGTTATCGGCATTAGTAAGAAAGAAAATACAGTCTTCTGCCATACAGTAGGGATCATTGGATCTTGCAAATTATCCTTAACAGTTCTTGACTTCTTCAAGCAGTTTGTTCAGTGAACTAACAGCGTCCTAATGCTCCTGTGTTTCCAGGCTTTCTCCAGCCTTGCAGAGGCTGCGTATGATGCCACCGAGTCTCAAGAGGACGAGCCCAACACATACTGTCTCTCCTCAACGTTTGAAGTCATCGTACACAAACTGCTAGAAACTACAGACAGGTAAGTCCACAATATCAGTAGTTCAGACCATGATGTAAACATCGTAATTCTCTATAGTTCAGATCATGGCTCTATCCAGAACCAGTTTTTCCATCAGTGACTGTAACTTTACGGTGTGTGACAGAAATTGTAGCACCTACGGCACTCCTTCCTTAAATGCGATGATGAACCTGGGCTGACGGAAAAAATTTCAACATGGGTAGCGCCCTGGTTCAGATGTCCAGTAATTACTTAAGTATAGATCCAATGTAGTCTTGTGGACCTAAGTTAATTGAGCCTATGATGTTATTTTGTTGTTGTGACTGGCTTGGTCAGTTTGATGACATCACAACTACCACCCTTGACTGACGGCTTCATTCTCCATGGTTCACTCTTCGTAATAGTATTTGCTTACTTGCTTGTGTAAATATCAGGCCACAGCAAGTAAATTTTATGGATGACATCCTCCGCAGACTCCAAATCTAATGCGATAGGCCACAAAAAAAAACAAGTTGGCCAAAGAAACAAGATTCCTACATTTTCAAATTTTGACATCATAAACCTTGTTAAACAAGAAATGATACCTATTTTGTGCCATGTTTACTGCCAACTATTACAGCATCCATTGGCCACTAAACATAAAAGTTTTCAATCATTGCACAATTGTACGAATGGTTTTCATTCAGTGGATACATCTCATGTAAAAGGAATGAAATACATCACTGCACCAAAGTAAAAGACAAAACAATAAATCAGAGCCTTGTATTGTTTCCTCTCTTCATACAATATATTTGTCATCCACGTTCTGGCATGGCAACTGACATCATTGCCCATGTTGACCACTGTCAAAAGGTTTTTTTTCTTCCCCCAAACCAGGCGAAAATTAATGTGCGCGCTGACGTTATCCATAAAAATTACTTGCTGTGGCTTTACTGAAGTTACATTATAGGATTGTAGAAGATGTGTATGATGTCCACACCATCTATCCTAGTTGAAACTACGTACAATAAGTTAGACTGCTTCAACACAATTTTTTTTTCCGAAACTTCAGACAGGACGCTGGGAACAGTAACCTGAGAAGTGCTGCTTACGAGGCTCTGATGGAACTGGTGAAGAACAGTGCCAGGGACTGCTACGTCACGGTCCAGAAGACTTCTCTGGTCGTCATGGACAGATTGGAACGGGTACTACAGTTAGAGGTATGAAATCAAGACCATGTGAAATGCTTTTTCCTGAATGTTGAGGAGCAAATTTTGCTGGTAGACTAGGCCAATTTTTGATATCAAATATGTTCATCATGAACAGCAAAATTCAGAAAGACGGACACTTGCGACACTAGAACACCCATCAGAAATGCTCACTTAAGTGCTAAATCCGTGAATAGTTTCATCAGGTTGGTAAGAGACTCTTGTTACACAACCATGCATCTATAGCAGCGACACCTGTGCTGCAGTGCAAGGTGAACCAGTCAGAATTGACCTGAGAAAGTTGACAGACAGTCACCAAAACGTCAGCTGAATAAAAGACTCGGTTGTGTAACAAGAGTCTCTGTATTAAGTGATAAATGTATTCTAATTTTAACAATCTTAACCCCACATCATAAATGCTGACAAACTTCAGGGAAAAGGGTAATGGTATGTCAGACAGTATTGCATATTTGGTATCATACTTTTCTGGACATGTTATGTTAAAAAGATGTTCTTTTCCCCAGGCTGCAGTTCAGACTAGTTCAGACAGGGCGCAGATCAACGACCTACAGTCCCTGCTTTGTGCCTCCTTACAGGTAAACACATCTTTCTTTTGATGAACTTCTGGTACAGATTGCAATGTAAGTGGATGTTTTACTCTTAGCATGTAAAGAAAAACTCCAAACAAATATGCACTGTTACGTTTTTCACTCTAAGAAGTATTTCTACAAGTAGTTCTGAATAGCAGAACAAAAATATTGCAGAACATTGAAAAAAGTATTTCTACCAGTGCTAATTGTCTCATTCTTTGTTCTGTTGTTACCTGCAGGCTTGTTTAAGAAGGATGAGACCAGAGGACACCAGACAGATAGCAGACCGTGTGATGACAATGATTATAGAGATGTTGAACGTGTCAAAGGGAAGGTCGGGGGGAGTACAGGAGGATGCCTTGATGGCTGTGGGAACGTTGGTGGAAGGTTAGTATTGTATTTGTTCTTTTGTAAATTTGTCCATTCATGTTTCACATTTATAAAGCAGGGCTCGAAATTTGTTTTTGGGAATAGATGCTCTAGCTTTTAGGTTGGGTGCACCATGTACTGCACCTATTCCCAAGAATGAATTTCTAAACATTGTTAGATGTACCATATAGAGGGCTCAAAATAGGGGGTGCATGTGCACCTTAGTGAACCCAAAATTGGAGCTGTGCACCCAATATTTTTTTGTAGGTTTATGAATGTCAAGATGTTAAAAGTACAGTAGTATACAGCATATTCTTAACTTCTGTGTCAGAAAACTGATAAAATCCTTCTTGTACTTCTTTTCTTTAGAAATGCAACATTCTACTTATTTTGAATGGTGCACCCAGAATTTTTTTGTGTGCACCCAATTTTTTAGGTTGGGTGCACCAGTGCACCTATTCCCAAAAATGAATTTAGAGTCCTCATTATAAATAGAATGTCAACCTAATTGCAAACCATACAGTCGTGTAGTTTCCATTCTATTATGAGAGAAGGAGCAGAAAATGTGATCATCACTTAAGTCTGTTAATGTTATTCTGTGTAATTGAATGGTTCAAGTAAGTGAATGTTCCTTTGTTTGTTGTTTCAGTGTTGGGTACAGACTTTATGAAGTACATGGAGGCATTTAAGCCATACCTGGCCCTGGGACTGGGAAACCATGCTGAGTACCAGGTATGTGTGGACATGTGCTGTCTTCTTGTTCAATCTTACCTGCATCAGTGCAGGTATGTAGGATCAAAGACTTTGAGCCCTGTAATTTTAATGGGTTAAAAGCAGTTATCATCAGTCTGTTTGGTAATTAGTATTACCTCTAAATCAACCATGTGACACCAACAAAGAAGCACGTCGACAGAACATACTGTACCTGCGCGAAAACCGTAATGTATTGTGCATAGCACTTCGTCAGAACGTCTCATATAAGGTCGTATTTTCGCATATAAGGTTAACATCCTGTCTGAAGTTTCCGAATGTTGTATTGGAAAAGATATCCTCTGCAACAGACAAGATTCTAATGCAACAGTGACCACGCAAACATCCAACAAAAAACAGTGAAAAATCAGGGTTTTGCGCAACAAAAAGAAGATAGGCAATTCAAGTATTTTAATACATGTCTTAAGTGTCCTCATGCAAGTTTTACTTTGTTAAAATGTATTGTACAAGTTAGATCACTAGAGATTGCCAATGTCTAAAAAAAAAGAAAAAAAGAAAATCCATACCTACCCACCCTAATTTTTTTCAGGACTGAAAACAGCATTTTTTTTCCTAAGCCTATTTTGATTGGTTGGTCAGTTGATTCATTGATTGATTGATGTAATGTGTTGCAGGTGTGTTTGGCAGCTGTGGGTCTTGTCGGTGACATCTGTCGGGCCCTCAGCACACACGTCACCCCCTACTGTAACGACATTATGCAACTGCTGCTAGAAAACTTGGCTGTAAGTTGTTTTTTTATATTAATTGATAAATCCCTTGTCTTGCGAGGCCTATAGATATATGGGACGCGCATACAGTATCGTCTATATAGCGCCCTGTATCATGTACGATTTAGGGGTATTTCTCATGCAACGCATCACACCGCAGCAAAATGCAATGAACATGGAAGTAACTACACTGCAGGGAAAAAAATTAGGGGTCTATGACTTGGTTACGACTTCAAATTATGTGAAAATATTGTGTCAAAAAATACCAGCAGGACAAGGGTTAAGCACTAATTCACCAGTAGCTGTTAAAGTATTGTTTTCTTGTTGTATTGTGTGTTGTCTGACTGATTGTAAACGCTATTCCTTCATTTTTAGGGACAAATTTTGCTGGTGGACCAAGCTTAAGTTAATGACATCCTTAACAGGGGTGAAGCATGATGCTCAGAGCTGGAAATACTGGGTGGCTGTGCACCCAAATTCGGAGCTTTACACCCAACTTTTTTTCCCAGCCATTCTCCAAAACTTAAGTTCGAGCCCTGATGCTTTACACGCTAATTTTGGCTGTCAGCATCAATAGATTTGGCTGAATTCTTATGCGTCACGAGTGGCAAAATTCTGTCAAATGAGGGAAAGATAGATGCTAGCAAGAACACACTAGTACTAGTATAAATACTACGAAATTTTGCAGGTTTCTCTTGTTTAATAAGTAATTTTCCTGTGTGCAGAATGACAGTGTCCATCGGTCAGTGAAGCCCCAGATCCTGTCTGTGTTTGGAGACATTGCCTTGGCCATCGGTCCGGAGTTTAAGGGCTACCTGAAGGTGGTACTCAGCACCTTACAGCAGGCCTCACAGGCTCAAGTAGACAAGGTACAACAACATCATATCTCCCATACTTTGAGGGTGGATAATTCTTCCTGCAGTTCTTTTATTAGTCACTAGGAGGCCACACATTCTGATATCCAAATCAAATGGTATGACTTTATAGTTTCCTGTGCACGGGTACTATTTATAATTTCTTTGATGCTACTATTTTTTGTTTTCATCTAATTTACTGTTTTAAAGAACCGAAGGAAAACATGATATTGTTTCCTCTTCTTCTTCTCCAAACCATTAAGGTCAATGACCTGAACCAGATGTCTGTCACCATGGTAACTAGTGTTGGGTTACATCATGTTGCAATTTTACAGCAGGAGGGATTTAGACTCCTGTCTGACCATATGTACAAATGTGTTTGAGTAAGAATTAACAGAGCAGACCATATGCGAAGGTTAACATTGTGCATTTGCTTTGCAAATGTTACCATTCTAGATTTGGTCTGTATACTCTTGTTTATGCATCATCTGGTGGTATACAGAGGTATTGATGTGCCCACATTATTGAGACAACCATGTCTGGATTGAGTGTTTAATGGTGTATGTTTTGCCTTCCAGAGTGATTATGATATGATAGACTACCTGAATGAGCTAAGAGAAGGGTGTTTGGAGGCCTACACCGGCATTGTGCAGGGGCTGAAGGGAGATGGCAACTCCATCGCAGGTAAGTCTCACATATCTCTGGGTTTTTCTCTGAGTCCTAGCCTTGGTGCTGAAGGGCCGCCTAGCAGGTTGCTGGAGAACTGCAGAACGTGTTTGCAGTGTATGTAAAGGCTGACTAAGGTTTATGCTTTCAATCTGTTAATCTCACATCTTTGATTTGTGTTAGGCCATGTTGATTTTATTATAATGGATGACATCCTCTGGGCCCCTTTAAAACTGATGTGAGCATGCAAATAAAAAAAATTGCCTTTAAGATGCAATCTAAGTGGTCATAAAGGTTTAACAATTGTCTGACTAAACACACATTAAGGTATGGGGAATAATAAAAATTAATCATTATTTTCATTCCTTCACATTTCCTTCTTTTCCTAAATGGAATTGACTTTGCCATTCTAAGACATTAGTATCGTTCTCCAATATTTTTTTTGCAATCTTTGGCATATATCTGCTAATTTTACAGTTGCTTTGTACGATTTACAGTATGGTTGAATTTTTTTTTTGGGGGGGGGGGGAACGTAACGAAAATGCATGTGCGTTTATGAAAAACTGTATAAAGAAAACAAGAGAATCTAGAACTAGATAGTCTGGAGATCTTTGTAAAGTAATTTTTTTTCCCTTCTGGTTGCCTGTACAGCTGACGTAGCCGAGCTGCAGCCACATGTGGCTTACATCATCAAATTCATCGAACACATTGCCAAGGACGAGGACCATTCCGATAGCAATGTGGCCTGTGGTTCCGGGCTATTAGGGTGAGTGCCTTTACGCTTGTTTTCAAGGATTGAGTATATAATGGAGTTGCAATCAAATTATATATAGTGTCCTTTGTAATTAAAACATACATCTGAGTAAATGTAGAAAGCACTAGTCGTATGTAGAATTGTAAAGACAAAGGTATTGAAAAAAGCTTTATTTTTCATGACTTTGTGTTTAGTATATTAGGAAGGAGTGACAGTCAAACTGTATTTTTGAATAAATGTAGCAAATTTTTATAATAAAATTGTGAAGGCCAAATAAAGTAAAGCTTTTATTAAGGCAATGGGTATATTTTGAAGCAGTTTTGGCCAGGACTAGTGCTGTGTACCGGTTCGCTGAAACTAGTGCCGGTAATATTAGCTTCAAGTCCAAATAAGCCTGAACGTCCGATACTTCCAGACTTACCAAAAAAATTATGTCACATTCCCCTTTTTCTTCTGAACCACCTGAAATCTTCAATAGCCAGAAATTTGCACTGCAGAATGAAGAAAACATTGCCATTGGGCATCGTCAAAGTGTCTGCCTCTGTAAATTACGTGGCCACAGTTTTTCCCAGACATGCCCCTCAAACAACATATCGTGCTTCTAAACCCTGGTAGTGCAGTGCTCGCTACAAAATTTTGCAGTAAAGATGCCCCATTTTCAAAATTGGGAAGGGTTAACTGGGAAGTCCCTTGCATATTTTGCATTATGCTCTGGGTTTAGGTTTGGACTTACAAGTCTGGACCTGAGCGTAAACCTCTGGACTTGAATCTGGACCTGGACCTGAACGTGGATTTAGGTACACAGCACGAACCAGGACTGTAGCATTTAGATGATCACTTATGAACCCACTACCTATTTAATGGGTTGTTGATTTTTTGGTGGAATTGCAGTGACCTGGTGACAGCCTTCGGGAACGAGATAATTCCACTGGTGGAGACACAGACCATCCAAGACTTCCTGCAGGAGGGCCGCCGCTCCAAGACAAACAAGACAAAAACACTCGCCACGTGGGCTACCAAGGAAATCCGCAAGCTAAAGAGTGCATGGTGAGGCCTGATTAACTGCCCTGTTTTCGCTATATATATGTCATCTTACTGGTTAATGCTCTTATAGTCTTTGGTACATGTAAGGCCACACCAATTTAATTTTTTGGTTCTCGGATTTTTCCAGAAAAAATATGAAGTGATGGGGCGAAAAAAAGATAAAAACAAAAACAGGGTTAGGCATCCTATTATAGCACCAAATGCTAACGTAGGAGCCATGGAGTCAACACATAAGGCTCGGTTAATATTTTAAACAATGAATTTTGAACTTTAAATCAAACCACTGCATTTATAGTTCTTTTCTTCCTAGTTGTTACAGTTTTTCATCTATTAATACAGTGGTTTGATTAAAAGTTCAAATGGCTCCTATCGTACCATTTGGGGCTATAATAGGATGCCTAGACCTGTTTTTATTGCCCTGTTGCTTAATATTTCCGAGAACCAACAAATTAAATTTTATCTTAAGTTATCCCAGCACTGTCCCAAAAATAAATTTCAGTTGTTCCAAAGTGAGGATGAGCTGTCCCAACCTGTTTTTTGGGAAGTATGTATGACTACAACTGTTGTGAGGCTTGCTTCATGATGCAGTCTCAAAGCGATGAAACTTGAAGTTATAATGATTAGTCGGTCACCTCTAGTGTTGCTTGCCATTGTAAACCCCTACTGCATGAGGTGCATCCTTATGAAGAGAAAGTTACATTGTAAGCATAAGACTCCACTGCAGACTCTCAGACTTACAATTAATGTCCAGAAGTGTCCCGTTGTATTCTCTAGTTAGAGTGAAAAGTGCCATGTAGTGCTGTGTACCGGTTTGCTGGACCGGTTCCGGATGTGTAAAAATGTTAAGGTTCAAGTCAAAAAAATAAGTCAAGAACCGATTCCAGACTTATTACCAAAAAACCATGGCACATACTCCTTTTCTTTCCAAACCACCTAAAACCTCCCATAAAGACAGTAAAATCTGTGCTGCAAAATGAAGAAAACATTGCCATTGGGCATCGTCAGGTGCCGGTCTCCATGTTATGTGGCCACAGTTTTGCCCAGACATTGCAAGGTTGCCAACATGCAATTTGTATATGCCATGGGTTAAGGTCAGGACTTACGAGTCCAGAACTGAACCTAAACCTCTGGACTTGAGTCTGGACCTGAACCTAAATGTGGGTTTAGGTACACAGCACTGGTACCATGTTATCACCTGTCCTTCTGCCCTGTGACCCACTGTGTCCTGTCCTGTTCCCTACTGTAGGGGAGGTAGTTCTAGTACTGACTGTCGAGGGAGCCACGTCTCCCCGTACCCCGCTAGCTCCGCCCCCAACGGCCATGTGAACGATGGAGAGTCTGCAGTGGACCTGTCCGGTAGTGCATGTACGACCAATTACATGTTTTCTCTCATCCGGGGTTGGTTTGCAGGGCTCGAAATACTTGGTGCATGTGCACCTTAGTGACCCAAAATTGGGAGCTGTGCACCCAATTCTTGTCTGGTGGACCCAAATATTTTTGTTGGGTGCACCAGTGCACCTATACCCAAAAATGAATTTCGAGCCCTGGTTTGGAACAGGCGTAGGGAGTTGTTGGGGTTTGAAAGAGTTTTTGAGCCATGGTTTCACATGGGACAAGGCTAAAACCACAGGTTTTGTTTTGTCTTGGACTAGCCCTATGTTCTGCAATATTTCACCCATATGATTTTCAGTTTTTCCAATGTACTTGTCTCTTCGGCAGTTTTTTAAACAATACTTTGCACTCCCAGTCTAGTTCCCATACTTTGCAGTCTGTTTTCATGCTGATTTTGAGAGATTATGTTTGATGATTTTGTTTTTTGTTGTCTGAAGTTCTTTTATTTTATATAATGAAGAGTTGCAAATAGCTTGAGTTCATATTTCAGCTATATATCTTAGTTTTGTTGTTGCCCAGTGCTACCAAGTGTTTCATGATGCACTCACCTATGATGTACATGTATTATGCCATTTTTTCACATAGTTTTCAATGTTCTATTTTTTTTATCATGTTCATATGTTTTTTAGACTGCTTATTCTGAATAATTATAATTGTATGCTATTTTAACAGAGTTTAGAATGTAGAAATTGAATTGTTGACTTCTGTCCATGGCATTATTTTGCATACAATGTGTTGCATTCCACTTCATGTTGCAGTCCACTTTTGTACACCAGACTTTTTTTTTTTACTGAAATGTAGCTAGGGGTTGGGACTTGGGAGATGGTTTTGATGATTCACTTGCTCAGTTGTTTCAGACAAGTGTGATAGTATAATTGGCATTGATCTATGAGAGGGATCCTATATGTTGCGGTACAGTGCTGGTAAAATAGGAGCTGGTATTTCTGATGTGTACTATGCACTGGTCCATAATAAAACCAGCCCAAAACACTAGAGACATCAGGCAGCCAGCATTTCTGTTATGTGTTTTTGCAGGGTGTCAATGAACGAAGCTAAGTTGTTAAGAAATGTCAGAAGCTTATGGCATTGTTTGTTAACACATCATTTGCCATAGATTTAAGTACATGTACAGGCTTTCCTTAATGATTCTCTCTTCTCTTTATCTCTTGCAGAGGAGTAATATTAAGAAAGGCATTCCAATGGAATGTCCCATCCGCAGAACATGGAGCTTCTGCTGTTGCTGTGTGGACGAGAGAGACTGTATGTGGATGCCTGCGAGAGTAAGAGAACATACGAGCCTCGGCCCCGGGACCTGTTTCCATGGCAACCATCACCCATGGCAACCATCACCGTGGCAACCATCAGCCAACCAACCAATCAGCCTTGAGGAAATATCCCTGCAAACAACATATTATTCGGAGATGATTTCTACAATCTACGGAGCACTCTTGTCGTGGACATGCCTTAGAATTGTATCTCAAACAACACAGTACACTGTTCAAAGTCATTAGGTCTAAACGAGTATGTAAATTAACGCAGCAATAAGATATTCCAAACTGATTCATTCAAATCTTGTCTTTTTTACAGGTCTAGTTTCAAATATATATAAGAGTGTTGAAAAGTTGTAGCTGTGTAGGAATATACTGTCTTGAATATAGTTGTGCTGGGTGCTATACCGGGCTGATATATGAATCCTGGGGCCATGTGTCCATTCTGATATGAATGGGTGATACTGGTATGACTGGTATGGATGTGTGAAAGAGTGTGTGCGTTGTACGCTAAAACACCAACTGATTCACAAATAAAAACAAGCCTTTTTCATCGGATCGCGACCACCAATCTATTTCAACCAGCGTATTGGTGCAAATCTTCCACAAAAAAATGTACAAGAAAAATACAAGATGGAGAAGAGAGTGTACCATAGATAGGAATACATGTAAATTATTTTGTAAATCCCAACTTGGGGCTCTTTATATACCAAATGTTTTATATGTTTCAATAAGAGATGTTGACTTCTGGATTCATCTATGAAGAAAAGACAAGTCAGCCCAAGTGAGAAAAAAATTGTGCATTGATGTACGAAAAACAAATATGTCATGACTATAGCTTCCATGGTTTGTACTGAGCATAAAGAGTTTATGAAGTAGCACTATTAAAAATAGCTCAGTTTGATTTTTCTATGCAAGAGGAATTGCAAATTTAGAGCTAAGCTCAGTCTGGTATCTCCAGCTTAAGGAAGTTAGCATCGCATTCGCCGCTGCAGATTCCACCAATACACTGGTTGAAACAACTTGCAACAAGTTCTGTAAATTTGGCTTTCCCTATTCTGGGCGAAACCAATGTCTAGTCCGTGTACTAATTCCTGTGTGAAACAAAACACAAAAAATGTCAATAAAAAAATCTGCTCTACGAGAAAGATTACAAAGAAGATATTTTGTCCAGAGGACTTTTTTGGTACAAAAGAGAGAAAAAAATGCAAAAATGTGACATTGGTTTCTAACCTTGTTATATACATTGTAGATGTGGTCTATGCTTTTTGCTTTGTCAGATAGCTCTTTGTCTTTAACTATGCATGTGACTTTTGTTGGCCAAAGATTGTTGTGACATTCACCCCTTGGCCTGTTTGGTAGAAGTATGTGTACACTTCTCACTAAGGAAATATAGCTGTTATCCACTTAAAACAACAGTAGCCATATACAAGATTTGACTTAAGGTTGTAAAGGATGTGTTTTCTATTGTACCTTCAATGAAGCCTGATAAAAATCACCATTTCTGAGTGTACAGCGTTTTTAGTTCAACTTTTCTGTGGTACATCTTGAAAAGAAACCTTTGTCTTCCTTTGGAAATACCTGTATAACAAAGATGAATTCTTAAGTGTGTTTGTGAAATATTCTGTTCTAGCGAGTTGCAAGGTATCAAAACTTGTTAAGATTACTTTAAGTTTGTCATGTGTTAGCAGATATAAAGAGACTGAGAGATTAACAGATTTTGTATGTAAGAGTTGAGGAGCTATCTGTCAAATAAAGGAAGACCACAAGACTGCAGTAACCTGTACTGTCATTATTTTCTTACTTGAGGTAGGTGAAGAGTATCTGTTGGTTCACAACTTCACGGATTCGCCTCTTCATTTTTTTCAAGGCCACACCAATTTAATTTCTTGGTCAACGGATTTTTCTAGAAAAATAATAGAGCTGGCGGGCGAAAAAATATATAAACAGGCCTAGGCATCCTATTATGGCCCGATGGTACGATAGGGGCCATGAAGTCAACACAACAGGCTGGTTCAAAATTCAAACAATGAATTCTTGAAAAATCCGAGAACCAACAAATTCAATTGAACTATAAATTATAGAGCATTGGTTTTATTTAGTGGATTTTTTTAAGCAGATCGTCTGGCTCTGAGCGCCCTCCCCCAAAGTGTTTACTGAAACATCCCTTACAGGACGTATGGTAACCTGTTCACTGGAAATGAATTGTCCCTTTTCCAGGGCGGAAGATCAACCATTGTAAAATAGGGGGTTGAGTGGATTCATCTCTGATACAATGAATCAACTCTGATGTATACATTATCCAATAATAAAACAGCGTTATCAGTAACAAAATATCTGTAAAATCGATTTTGAAAGGTGAGGTACAAACAAGAAAAAGGTTGGCTCTTTTTCATGCTTGCTCCCTCCCCCAACGATAAAATGTAGCAGCCCATACCAAAAATGAAGTCTAACTTGACAACTTCATATTAAGATGTTTATATTCAAAATATTTGTGGTGGAAAATTTGCTGTAATGAAATGATAATACATGTATATGACAACAAGATTATATGACAAAATGGTTTGATATTTGTTATAAATGTGTCCATGGAATTTGCACAAACCATCGACAGGGGATGTGTCTGATTTTTTTTCCGTTTGAATAAACAAAGTTATTAAAGAGAGCCCCTCCCCAGCTATACGTTGTTGTATGAACTCCATATTGCTATTGAAACAATTAAATAATTTGCGTAATGAGGTAATTAGAATAGCATTCGATAAAAAGAAAAGAAATATAATTTTCTGTTGGCATTATACCCGTATAACAAATGGTTCGTCCCCTCCTGTGAGCGCCAATCACGTTCAAGGTTACATCTAAGAATGTTTCGAATTCAGTCAAAATTTTGGCGCCATTACACCTGCAGATGAGACTGAACCTGAGGCGTCCCGTCAGAACTGAGGTAAGCATTTTCCCATGTTTCGGGGAAATACCACACTATATCCACGGTTCATCTTGTGTAGTTTCTGTATATCGTTGCTAAATGTCCCCCTTTGATTTTGAGATATTTGTTACACGGTTTTCCCGATATTTTCACGATTTGTGATGCACGGTAGGATATAGGCTGACCTTACGTATGACAAGATTGTCGTACATTTTTCCTGTCAGAGTTTCTCCCGTAAATGCTGTGTTTTCCCTCAAGTTTACCTCAGAATTTCCAGGCAAAATGTTTCGACATGTAGTCCTTCCACTTTTATCTTCCTTCACTTGTGAAAAATTGAGAAATATTTGTAAAGCGCGGCCCTTCGTAGTTGGGCAGGCGGGATGTCATCAGCATGGTCCCGTGTGTATACATATGGCCGGCGTTTGGGTGGTTGGTAACAAGCCTACCATATTTTTCCTCAACTTTACCTCAGAATTTTCAGACAAAATGTTTCGGCATGTAATAGTGTTACTTTTTGTTTTCTTTATCTGAGAAAAATTGAGAAATGTGTCGTGTATCGGTCTGCAGCTGCGCCCCATACTGTCATATGTGGCCGAGTCACCACAATGATTTTGATGGTTGGTCAAATGTTCAAGAAAACTGTCACTTTTTCCTCAGGTTTACCTCAGAATTTTCAGATAAGTTGCTTCGGCATGTAGTTGAGTCACTTTAAGCTTTTTTCATCCGTAAAAAATTGAGAAAATTGTACTGCGGCCCTGCGTAGTTGGGCGGGCGGGAGAAGAGGAGCATGACCCCGTACGCAACTTTAGCAATGCCCGGTGTGGATCCCAATCGTCAAAAGGCCGAGAAAATTGTTAATTTTTCCTCAAGTTTTCCTCAGAACCCTCAGAAAAAATTTTCCAACATGTAGTAGTGTCACTTTTAGCTTTTTTTATTCGTGAAAAATTGAGGAAACTGTTAATCGGCCGTGCGTAGTTGCGCCGGCGGGATAACAGGTGCATGATCCCGCCTACACACAACGCATTACTCGGCGCGGATCGCCTGACCAGCTGAAGTTCACAAAAGCTAATGAAAATCATTGGTGCGTAAATTTTACTTCATATTCTTGTGAATTTTGACATTTCTTCGATTTTTGGCGTGTTTGCTTTTGGGGCTGTCATGGCTACGGGGCGCCGGCGCCTTCTCGTCTGACGGAGCTGTCAATCATTGTACCTGTGTAGTTGAGATAGTTTTTACGTCGATATCATTACAAGTAGTGAAGTCTTCTCAAAAGTTTACCTCAGAATCGCCGGGGAAAATATTCCAGAAACTACTTTTGGCCCTTTTAGCTACATTTGTCGACAAGTTTTGGGAGAGATCCGGGTCCATACTGTCCCAAACAATCGGAAGGTCCCGCCCGGGTTTTTGCATTATCCCATACAAGGCCCACGAAGTAGCAATAGAATTTGCACAAACATTATCATGTTTCCCTCAAAATCGCCATTAAAAATCCTCGGCACCCAGTAGTGTGACGTTTAGATTTATTTCTGGTGAAATTTATGTTAGAATATGAGGTAATCGCTAGTTTTAAAGATTCTGACACCTGTTGCTTACTTCCAGCTCAGCAGCGCCGCCTGTCTCAGCAGCAACGAACTGCAGAACCCTCCCAGATGACCAGCAGATATCTATGAACCAAAACTAAGTAAGCTATTGTCTTTTTTCCATATTTTGGAGCAATTTTAAAAACTGTGGATGTTTATTGTGAAATTTCCTTATCATACAATATCTGCAGCCTTTACCAGTCACTTAAGACACACCGATAACCTCTTACTGTTTAAAGTTAAATGTTCATGTTACTGTGACAACATGTGGTGTTTTTGATGCTGACATTTTTTTTCTTTTTCTGGACATAACCAAAGGAGGGATGTCCTTGATTCCTGTCTGCCCTGCTGTTGATGTAGAATAACTTTCCTGATCCCTGCTAGCAGGTATGGTATTGTGATATTTCCAGCTTTCTTAAAAGTACTTTCTTCATGGTCTCCAGGACAAATGCTGATTTATCTATTTGATCCCATGCACTGATTTTCTGAAACAGAAAGAAAAATGCAAACTGTTACATGTCAAAATCCTACTTGATATGCTTCTGTTTTACTCAATTAATAAAAATTTTGTCAAAAGGCTTTGTCTGTGCAGTATGAAACAGTTACTGTGATAAGCTTTTTAGTGTTTTTGCCAGGATAATCAAGTTTCAACAACTCTCTTTCTCTTTCCTTACTTATAGATCTGCCACCCTCTCTCTACTACATATCTTCCCGTCTACTGATGTCACTTGTTTCCAGGCTACTTGAAGGGAAGCAAGCATCGAGAGGACAGCTAGAACACAAATAGGATTTGTATGATATCCTTGTCTGCTGATAATATATAAAGGGAGGGGGGACTTGAGCCAAGCTCTACTTTGGCTTTGCTCACTAAACTTGAGATTACGACTAGGGAACATTTTGGAAATAAAGTGCCTTGTTTAGATTTTAAAGAACATCTTTGCATAAAATAACAGGGGCTAAGGGATAGAATTTCTAGACTCGTATGTTATACTTGTAGTCCAGTGGAAGAAGACCAAGAATGGATGGACAAGAAGAAGAACAAGAAAGTCATACAGTTGTAGTTGCCCAGGACATGTTCAAGCTTTTTGTGTATGTTTTAATCAAGTCAGTAATAAGACTATAAAGATATATCTTGAAAGACTGAAAAAAAAATTAAACAATAAATAGGAACAGTGTTATGCCTGTTTC